AGGGAAGAAGCTTAAATAGATGTTCCAGTGGTGGTCCATTCTCAATTTTAGCATTGTGTTTTGTATTTTTATTCAAATATTAAAAGCTCTCTGATCCAACATCTTTTTTAAAGGTTAAAGATAAGGCATGGAAGATGGAGGAGTGCTTGGAGGCAGTGCTAGTTAATCCTGCTCCCCCTCACTTTTCCTGATTGAAATCCTCAACCTGTTGGGAAAATGCTGGGAGTTCTAAGATTTTTTCTGTCTAAACATCTATAGGACTGTGCCCCAAGAGCCTTAATAGGGGCAGGGATGAGGTGACACACAGAATACAAGTACCTTTTTAACATGCAGTATTTAACATTACCTGGTCATAATGGCCCTCAATATAGTTGTCAAGTCAACATTATTTACCTTCTCTAGAGCAGAGGTTCTCAGACTGTGTGGCCCATGGAACCAGGGATAGCCCTACCATTTGGCAGAAAGAAGCAGCCTCTCAAACATCAGATGCTGGGAAGCAAAGAGCAGCTGTGATGTGTCAAAGGGCAGAACTGCATACTGTGTGGCCAGCCCATGGCAACTGTGCTAACAGTTGGCCTGTGATGGAGGAAGAAAAGGTTACCTGATGGTCTGTTCAGCTTTTGTACATGGAAAGCTCAGAGTTTTGTCCTTCATTTCAGGTAGCAAACTGTCTTGGACTAGACCTAACTATACTTCCAAAATGCAGAAACAAGAGAAGTGCTGAACCCGACCTGAGGCTAAAACCAACAAATACTACTCCTAACAGCACAGAACCTTGCTCACAAAGGCAGGCACGTCCATCCCTTCGTAGTTATTAAAGTATGAGTTATATATGAAATTTGTAGGGAAAAATGTTTATAAAACGCTCTACCAAGACTTCCGGTAATTTTTGAGTGTTCCATGGGGAGGGCAAGCAGGGTTGAGAAGCAGAGAGATCGAAAAGTCTTCTTATCAATGTTGTGATTGAAAAGAGAATTTAATACATGAAGAGTGAATATTGTGTCCCCAAGAAACATATTCTGTTGGAAAATAGTGAAGAAGAAATAAAACAAGGCTTTCATATCCAGAATGCCCTTAAGATTTGCAGGGCATATTTTAGTTATTTCAGTTATTTGATGATTTAGAAGAAAATGCCAAATGACTCATTTACTGCTGTCATTACTTTTGTTGTGTGCACTTTTTAAGATGTTATACTGTAGTTAATATTGGGGGGGATCATGATTGCTAGCCCCCCCCCCCGAGGGTTTCCAAAAGCAAAGCATGGTAGAAATAATACAAATGAAATAAAGTAAATATGATAGACATGCTGTATATGACATCAAAAGAGATCTTGTGCTTTAAACTTACCTTCTTCTGTTTGATCAGATTCTGCCGAGAAATGGATCAGCAAGGGAACACTGCCTCTTTCCTATTTAGCTTTTTTCCTGAGCAAGGAACACAAGCCCAAACAGAGAGCCTTTGCCATCATGCTAAATAAAATGGCAGAAGTTCCTTTTTGCAGATAATACCAAGGTGCTAAAAGGTGGCAGTGGGCCAACTTTGTCAAGCCTCTACAGTCCACATTGTTCTTTTCACCTGCACTTGGTCTTTCAGTTATCATGTTGATTAATTATTGTACCATCATTGGAAAGGGGCAGCCTGCTGCCCCTGGGTAAATGGCTAATGGAAACTTAAGAAAATGTTGCATAGCAGGAAGGGGCACTTGGAAATAGGAACAGGATACATTTCCTTTAATATTATTGGCTAACAACACGGTAAAAAAAGAGTGCTGGCACTACAAAGGCACGGGAGTCTTACCAGCATCACTGAACTCACATACAGACTTGTGTTTCCCGGATCACAAGCGCAGCTGTGATGAAGATGATATCACAGTAGGTGTATTAGTTGCCTGTCATCTTGTATAACCCCTTGATTAGATTCATGAGATGTCTTATGTTGGGACTCAGGGACAATTCCTGCATTTGTTATTGAATCACTCAGCAGGAAGGACCAGGAGATCATGTCTCTATGTCAAGTAAAGTGAAATATGTTTTAGGAATTGTCCAAGGAATGCACTAAAAATCACCTAAAGTACACTAGTTTGGACTAATTCTGAAGCCAAGACTCCAATCAGTCTACAGGTCCATATGGAACAACCAGAAGCATAGCACCTGATGACCTCAGTGACCAGGCAAGTAGGTCAAACCCAGATCGATTACTGCAGGGTGGCTTGTCTGAGGGGAGCACACCACCACAATAACAATGTAGAGTATCTCTGGGTCAATGTCCAGGTCTGGTACCTGTTGCACTTTGGCAGGAGGTATCTCCTTGGAAATTCCCCAGGTAAAATTTCAGACATTTGTAAGTGCACAGGTGCACACGTGCAAAACACTGAAAAGAATTAAATGTGCAAAATTACTGCACATAGATCACAGAATCATAGAATAGTAGAGTTGGGCCAGAGGGCCCATCAGGTCCAACCCCCTCCTCCGTGCAGGACACCAAGTTAAACCATCCCTCTCTGTAGGACTGAAGCCTGCAGCACCTCACTTGTTACCTTTCCTCAGTATGAGAAGCTGCCATTGATGGACACTAATTTTGTAGCCAACTGTGGATCCGTTTGATAGATGTTCTATCTCGCCCACTTTTAGCTTGTTTGCTAATCAGGATATTGTGGGGCACTTTGTCAAAAGCTTTGCTGAAGCCAAGTTAAATTATGTCCACAACATTCCCACAGTCCATCAATGAGGTTACCCAATCAAAAAATGAATTCAGATTAGTCTGGAAGGAATTGTTCTTGAGAAATCCATGTTGTCTGCATTGTTTTCAAAACAATCACTGCATTGTTTTCAAGGCATTTGCAAACAGACTGCTTTATAATTTGCACCAGAATTTTCCCAGGGATTGATATCAGTCTGTAACTTTACATCTTAACTTTTCATTGGTGAAACATGAATAAACAACATGGATCTCACAAAAATGCTAGGAACATGGAGATATGGATAAAGTGAAGAATATATAACTCACGTTGTTCCAGAAATTATCAGTTTGAACAGGCTTTTGACATGTTCTCATGTTTAATCTCATCCTTTCCCCTCAGAATGAAATCACTATGTCCAGAGGGTTCAAAACAATGTCATAAAATCTTATGACATTTATGGTGACCAGGCCTCATTTAACAAACCAAAGGTGAGGTCCTTTTCATAGAAGTATCCAGTGATTTGTGAAACATCCTATTGAATCACCATGCTATGGCTTATCTACCACAACCTCTTCTACATATGAAACAATATATACTTTCCTGTGGCCTGCAGAGGAGTGTTTTTTTTTTTTTTAACTTCAGCTGACTTGCCAAACGGAAGCTGTAAAATATACAAGAAGGGGCATGGAAGATGGATAATTGCTAGTTGCAGCTGCAAATAGGCACTTGTTTAATGGCACACTAGATGCATGTAAATGTGGATATCCCTTTTTTTAGGAACCAGATGCTTTCTTATATATTATGGAAAGTGGAACAAGGGGAAAGGGCAGGGAAGGTTAGAAAACAAGGGAAAGAGGCAGAGATGGTATCAACTCTCATTATGCATTATGAAACACATTGCTGAACTTCAATGGTATGGAATATTTTGAGTGAACAGAAGGATGGTCCATGACATTGTACTATTATTTCGAAACCTAGACTAAACCATGGAGCTAAGTGATGAGCAGCCAGATTTCCTATGGGACAGTTAGCCTCCATTATGATCCATTAATTGATAGTCTGACGAATGCCTCCCAATCTGAAGTGCCATTGTCAAACAGTATCTTATAGGTAGCAGGAAGTGTTGATGTTCTAGTGAAGAATGAATTCCTTCAAAATGTCAATAAAGAGAAAATAGTCACAATAAATACAGGCCAAGATGGGTTCCTGCCTACTGCCCATGACCACTGCCTTCAGATTTTTGCAGTAGGGTCTATTCATACTGAGATTGTAGAAATCATACAAATGTTGACAAATCCCTTTGCAGTCAGAGCCCATGTAGGCAGGAATGTTGCCCCTCTGTATTCTGTGATCTTGAGGTGTGGGTTGCAACAATGTGTAAATCTCAGGCAAGTCATCTAAGGGTACAATATACTGGGAGTGTTACCTGTGCAAGCCCTGTTGAAATACATAGTTTGTGTAAGAGAATAGTCATGTTCTTGCAAAGGAAGCACTCCCTGTGAATTTTAGCCTTACTTTTTAAGAGTTTGACTCTTCTCTAAGTATTAAATGTGTTACACTAATGCTGCTCTTTCCAGAAATCATATATACATCCTCCCTTTGGGCTCTATGTACAATGAACAGGATCCTCAGCTTCACTCATTCAACTGAGGATGCAAAGACAAAACAACCCACTTGGATAAGCAAGTAGGGCCAAGGATGCTGGAGGAATAGCTCCATAGTAGCATCGCCACTATGTTCTCTGCTATTTGTAGTGCTGTTTTCTTCTTGACACTTATTTTGGGAATCCAGCCTGCAAGGCAAGACCAGCAGGGTGGGCAAGACCACAGGATTACATACTCAGGTACTGAAATGTTTCCAATTGCAGTATTTCTGTCATGATAAACACCTTCTTTCAAGATAAAAATGGATGCCTCATTATAGCTGGTTTTAGTCAGGTATTTCTTGATTGGTATTTCTTAAGTGGAGTATACAACGTAAAGGTAAACAAGCTGGAAGGAAATTATCTGTTGATAAACTATTAAGTAGACCAGTTTCCCAAGTTATATCTTTAAAAAAACTTCTGATTGGAAAAACCTACAGGCGTCAAGACTGAAATTATGAGAGGATCAAATTGCCTGCATTTTTTCAAAACGAGCAAAGCAAAGCATCTGTTCTACTTTTGCTATTATTCAGAGAAATTATACTACATAGAGACATCTTATGCATATTAAGTCTTCCAAGCAAAATAATGGGCCTAAACTCATTGACCTTATTCAGTCAAGCTTTCTAATTAAAGTTGATAGAAATGTTGCTGTGTGAGAGTCCAACATCCAGAACATCTTTTAAAGCAATTTGCCTTTATTTGGTCATAGAACTCTTAAAACTGTCACCTCAGGATTTCACTCTTTTTAAAGTGCTTTATATGCAGTTTGTATTATTTTGGTCTATTATGTAATGCAGACTTCAGCATAAAAAACTGATTGAACAACCCAGTCTGTTTATAAAATTCTGTCTACAAGGTCAGATCCTGCATACAATCCAAAGAGTTTCTAGTTCTAATTTGGGTAGTGCCTGACATGTCAGGAGCTTCAGGACTGGACTGGTATGTCAATGCAATTGCTCTGATTATGCAGCACTGTGGCTAAGAGCAAAATCTCACAGATTATATTATATACAAGGCCATTTGGTATTTCACATGGCTCTACTGCAGACACTGAGTGGTACACAGAAAAGCAAGGATTGGCAGCACTCCTTTGTTCTGAAAAACATATATCCTTAATCATGTTGGAAACAAATAGTATAACATAGAGATGAGAGGATACAAAACTGTTTGTGGCAATCCATACAGTACATCAGGAAATTTTTCACCATGCAAAGATACATGTGAACAGTTAATTGACAGGGCAACCTTGCAAGCTTACAACACCATGAATGCCTGAAATTTTGCTCAATAAGACAGGTTTGTCATTGATTTTGACATCCTTCAGACAGCCCAGGAACACATCCCGAACAGGAAGCCATGGTATTTCCAAATTAACTGTAAAGAGAAAGCGTAATGATGGGCTAAATACAGAACATATGAGCAATTTGGTGTAAGGATACAGAAAGCCAGTGTTTGGCTCTGAGATATATTCTTCAGCATTTCTATGTCAACAGAAGATTGACTGAAACATATTAGTCAGAGTCTCATTTAAAACAAACAGCTTACTTACCCTAACCGCTTATCTGATCTAGTTTGGATTAACTTTAGAAAGAATAAGAATACAGTGTTCTCTAGCTGAGTTTCTTCTGTTTTGTTCCTCTCTGTTGACACACCTCTTCTCTGTTACATGCACAATACCTTTCCTATTTTTCAGATGGATTTGATTGGCTCAAGCCAGTACTGGGACTTTATAGCCAACAGGACAACAGATAAGAAGCAGCATGGTGAACTGTGTGCTAAGGTTTTGAGTGGCTATCCCTTGTTCTATCCAGATCATGTGTACTACTAGATTGTCTTACTGATTTTGTTCACATGTTCTGTACTGAACATGTGAGGGGCTCTCCAAAAAGTACAGGCTAGTCCTGCCCATGAGTTGCCAATGCATTTGTTGGCCTATGTTCCCAGACTGGTTAACATCATCATCATCATCATCATCATCATCATCATCATCATCATCATTATTATAACATTTCTATGCCGCCCCTTGCCGAAACCTCGGGGCGGCTTACAACATGATAAAATACATTGAAATACAATAGTACATAATAAATTACCATTAAATACAAAAATGCAAAAAATACATTGACTTACAAATATAAAATTAAAATTATCAGTATAAAATAAAAATATAGGAGGAGAAAGAGAAGGAAGAAGAAGTTGCCCTGGCCAGATCATATGTTTTAACAATTGAAATGATGTTTAAATAAAAAGGTCTTTACCTGGCGCCGAAAAACCCGTAACGACGGTGCCAGACGGACCTCTTTGGGGAGTGAATTCCATAGGTTGGGCACCACCGCAGAGAAAGCCCTCCTCCGGGTACTTACTCTCCTAATTTCTTTCATGGAGGGTTCCCGGAGAAGGGACTCTCCCGCAGATCTCAAAGGGCGGTCGGGCATATACGGACGTAAGCGCTCGTTCAGGTAGCCAGGACCCAAGCCGTTTAGGGCTTTGTAGGTCATAATCAACACCTTGAATTGGGCCCGGGCTTCAATGGGAAGCCAGTGAAGCTGACGGAGGACTGGAGTCATGTGATCATAATGCCCCGTCCCCGTCAGCAACCTGGCAGCTCTATTTTGCACCAATTGAAGTGTTCGGACTGTCTTCAGGGGAAGCCCCACGTCTGAAGGAGGCCAGTGCTTGCTTGTATGTGTGTGTGAGTAGGAACTCTGGGTCCACATTTTACAAATGTCTTTTGGAAAAAAAATACCCATCCAAGCTCAATACTGGGCTGATCCAGAGCTGACTCTCATGTTTTGAAAGGCATAATCTTCATTTCTCTCCATGGCTCTTTGTAGGCCAACATTCTTGGCCCAGAATCTGCTTCCTGTACTGTGTGTGACACAATCTTAATGATTAGCTGAATGGCTTTGGCAGTAGAGATATTTGGTAGCCAAATGTTTTGAGGGTGGAGTATAATCCAAAGATGCCATAAAGGAAATCTGCCACAGCTCCACACAGCTGCACCCTTGCTTTTTCTTGCATTTTCCTGAGTGAGGACCAAGCTAGATGGGATGTTAATTGTGTACATGCAATTTTCATTCACTTAAAAGAAAAGTGAACTGAAGATGCAGAGACAAAAGTAGCAGGACTGCAGAGGATAGAGTAAGCATTTAACCTTTCCCTAGTCCTCTCATGGTGTCTACTAATATGGCCCAAGTTGCTGTTTGCATTAGGAACAAAATGTCAACTGCCACCAATGGAAGCTTCCCCTTGAAGCAAATTGTGGCATTTCTGGAGCCATATTCATCACAACAATGGTCAAAAGGGTATGACTAGACTTTGCATTCCTACCCCCTAAGGTCTTGCTACTTCTGCCTCCTTCACAGCATTTTCATTTTTAAACACTTACTCATTAACTGCATTCATGCAATTAACTGCAGATCTAATTTGGCCTTCAGACTGGAATGTTTAGGCATCTTCATAAAGCATGATACACTGTCCCAAATTGCGCGATCACCATGGGTTAAACAGGCCGCACCATTTGCCCTCTTAGCCCTAGCTTCCCATATCACGTGTGGCAAGCAGTGGGAAAGAACCTTCAAGTAACCCATGGCCTACAGCTGGGTTATTTGAGGGCCGTTTCCTCTCCAACAAGCTATGCCAACCAGATTTAGATTACATGATGAGCTGCATCTGGACAAGTAATTTGGTTAATGCCACCTGACACATGCACTGACTCTAACAAGCCACTGTAGCTTGTTTCAGCTACAATGATTGTAAGAACCAGGTCAGGAACTTTGAGTGCAGTTTTATCAGACAAAGGATTGTTGAATTTTTATAACTATTTCCAAAACAAAATAGCAACCATGAAAGATTTCATGAGTCTTCCTACCTGGAATTCTCCCAAAATAAAGTGGTTGTCCATGGCTGGTAGAAAGTATAGTTGGTGGTCCAGTGGTGTAATTATTCTTTACATCTATGTCTAGGTGAACAGTGTTCTGCTTCTGAGTTACTATGACAAGGAGATAAAATAATCAGTTTGTTCTCCAATCCATCACGTAGAATAGTTTCACTTGTAGTTGGATGCCCAACTTCTCAATGGACGTATATGTGAAAATGTTTTGTGGACAATGATGTTATGATTCTAAGCCACCCCTTCTATTACAGACCAATGCAATATTCATACACTATGCCTGGATGAACAGCCACACTACAGATAACACTGTAGATATGTACAATATTAGCCTGGTGTTTAACCTGCCCTTTGCTAGCCCTTTCCCCTCCACCCCACCCCAGGCTTCTGGACATATTTACCTTGTCAATACAAATAGTGAACCTTTGTGTGGGGAAAAGAAGCTGGTGGTAATACGTCTCAGGGAAATGGGCTACTAGTGGAAGAATTAAGCTCCTGCTGCTTGAAAATCCAGCCCACCAAAGGTGCCTTGTAACTTCAGCGTAACATGAAGTTTGGTCCATATATGGAGCGATTTGGTTCTACTTGCATTTTCTCTCAGGGCTGAGCTTTGCAATGCTAGTTTCAGTGTTATTTTAGTAATAAAAGCACTCCAGAAAACTGCTGACAAAGACAGCAAAGATAGCTTCACCAATCTCCAGTCGAAAATTATTTAGAGTGATTCTGTGGACTTTAGATACCATCTGGAGCCCCATTCAGACTCCCAGGACCAAGCTTGGAGACAGCATTGACCTTAAAGCTGAGAACTCTGCACTCTGATTCACCCACTGCAACCTCACAGCAGGCTGCCCCTCCAAGGTCAGGTAAAGCTTTGGTAAAGAGCATGTTCCAGGGATCAGAGAGGGGAGGACACTGGAGCCACCAGGGTATGAGGTATCTCACCCTTTCTGAAGCACCTCAGCCAGAGAGCTGAAAATGGTCATCAAGCTAAAAGGTAGAACAGGATATGTGGGGACATGGTGTTCACCTTCACCATGTCTCCCACTCTGCACTGGATGCTCATAAACCTCTGAGTTCAGGGACTTACAAACATCAAAGAGAGCAATCAATAGCTATTCATGTAGTTAATGATTTAAACAACCAATAAACAATTCTACTGAAGTTCCATAGAAGATTTGGGACTGCCTGGATTATTCCAAACAGATTTATGCACTGTAGTCATCATAATACGTTTATAATCAGAATTCATACAAACAGAACCAGAGACATACACAAGTCTTATAGGTACATATTACGTTATGCATTTAAAATGCATCCGAAATAGTCTTTTAAAAAATGCATAAGAAACACTTCTTGGGAGTGCCGTAATATCTGACTTTCTTTTTATCTTGTCTCTATACAACTGGTGAATAAGATTGCGCAGTACCTGCTATGAAGTGCCATTTCCCATCACACAGAGACCGCTGAGGTGTGACTGACGTTGAGAACTCTCCAGTGCCATTACTTCCAGAGGCAGTGAGCTGTGAAAACCAGAAATCTTTTAAATTACCAGTAACAAAAGAACAAAAGAAAAGAAAAAGACAGACACAAGAATATGGAACTATGAAAGATTTGCTGAACTTGATTAATTTGAGCAATACTTTTAGGGACAGTTGTCTTATTTGTGAAACTCAGACTGCTGTGCTGGTTCATCAAATCCCTAGAATTCCAAGAAAATACATTTTTATATATTACTGCTCTGTTAGGAAAGCTGTATCCACATGAATTTTCCAGGTGGCTGTTGCTGAATATTTATTTATTTATTTATTTATTAAAACATTTCTATGCCGCCCCTTGCCGAAGCCTTGGGGCGGCTCACAACACAAAATAAAATACAATAAAATACAAAAATAACAATATAAAATTCACAATATAAAATAAATAACAATATAAAAGAAACTGCTTTGACAAGCTGCAGGTAACATGCAGTGATATCTCTTACATTAGAATAAGCAAAGAATGGCTCTCAGAGACACCACCTGGGATTTAACTCCCTTCTGTGCGGCCAGTATCTGGGAACAAGGTAGATTGTACCATTCTCAATAATGTACCACACTGCACTCCATGCACCCAGAATGACAGCATTCAACAAGAACCAAAGAAAATCAGACTAACACTGTCCACATAGTGCCACCCTTCATCTGTGTCCCCCACAAGTGCTCTGCTTGTCATCCCAAGGGGAACATAACGTTGATAGCTATCTTTTTTAAAATGAAGATGCCCAGCTATGATAAGCTTCATTGGGTGCAAGTGTAGTTTGGATTTTATCCATGTCACCATCATCCTAGCACTTTGTCTAACATGCTGTTTGCTCTGAAAAGGGGTTCATGAGCCAGGGCCTCATGGCAACCAGGAGCGCAAGGATCCTGACAGGAGTATTCTAGCCTTCCAGCCCGTATTGTAACTAAAGTTTAATGAACCAGAATATCCCACCTCTCTCTGTTTCTATTTCCCTGTCAAGAATACTCTGCCAATGCAATGCTAAAGGGCTGTTATCCTAATCAAGTTGTCTTCTTTCTGCAAAAACTGCACACATAGTAAAACTTGCATTGTAGGCCTTTAATCCTTGTCAGTGAGCCGGTCTTTCCTTTTTGTCAGGGTACAAAGTCAATCCATCAGTGTGTGCATCTGTGAAAGCTTCCTCCATTTGCAAGGCTCACATCTGGGTACACATTTATATGTGTGAACTTGCATATATGTCTGAACAAGAATATTTGGTAGCAACTGATAACACTTCTCAGTAGCTCAGGGCTAGGATCCATCTCTGCCTTATTCCCTGTCCTAACCAAATGTTGGCAGTTGGCAGAGAATAAAAAGAAAATGCACACCTACCATTCCTTCTTTCATGTAAACAGTTAAATAGTTCCCTTGCTTGCTGCCAGTATGGATTAAAATGCCATTCAAGCTTCTTGGGCGAATGTTAAACATGATCTGATATTCCAAACTCATCGAAAAACTGTTGTCTAAGAGCAAAAATAGGGAACAGTTATGTTAAAGAGGCCACCAAGTGTTATTAACTAGTTTCATGCAATTTTAGCTGCCACAAGGGAATTCTGAGAAAGTCTTTACTAAAAGAGAAAAGTTCTACAAATGTAGAACTATTGGAACTATTGTGCTATTGCAACTACCCTATCCTTTAAGACTGAATATACCTGTGCATAGTGAAAAGGCTCCAAAGGAATGCAGTGCTTTTGCTCAGAATTAGTAACTCCTACTGTAGTACTTACCAAGGACAATATGCCCCCCTTCATTGAAGAAAGATACCCCATTCTCCAAAGTATTATCCAAGCAAGGCAGAACACCACTGTTCTGAAGGTAAGTCTGTACGAGCTCTCCTGCCATGTAAAAATTTCTCAGGCAACCCACAAAACTCTTTTTAGGGACATTCTGAAAATATAAATTCAACATACATTATAATACATTCAAGTGTATGTGAATTAGTAAAGTGACACTCCACGCATGTTTGTTAGTGCATCTTGTGTGTTTTAGACAAGTTGGTTGCAGCTGGTCAAAGCTGTGTGTGAAAATGTGCCTGGCAGATCTTATCCATCAAGTTAAAATGTGATGCAAACATTTAACAGGGAAAAAATGGATAAACCATTATAGACAGAATAACCTATTGAAAATTGGGATGTGCAGAGTAGCTTTATTCCTGGTGAAACAATGACAATGGTGGCAATATTCTGAGAGCCTCTTAGCTTCCAGTTTGATGCATCCACACAGGTATCAAAGGACTCAAGCTCTCAACTGGAATCTGCATTGCTATCTTTGCTTTCCAGTGGGAGTCAAGCAATAAAGTGACATGCCTGTCACACACCAGGTCTCACCTATTCATGTGTCACTGAAAGACAAAAGGCAATGATACCTTATGTTAGCTAAAACCTTTTCTTTTTTTACCTGGACATTTAATGGAGGTGCCCCTCCTAGGTAGACTGGTGATGCGATCGAGGCAGAATAAGTAGGTGGTATCTTTCCCTCTCGAGCCATCAAACCATCCACAACAAGACGCATTTTCTTTCCAGTTCTGCTGAATGCCACCTATCCAGGAGACAAACATAATTTTGAATAGACAGGAAGAGGAAGCAGTGCAAGTATGGTCTTGAACTAACAAACTACTTTTTTTCCATCTGAGTAAAAAGTGGACTTTGCTTTTTTAAGCTGCTTAACTCAACATTCTATATTTTTGGGAACACATAAATCACTGGTGCTGGAGATTTCATCAGAAATCATCCGGTCTTCCAAAACCATATTCCAAGTAGCAAGCTTATCGCATACAGAGAAGAAGCAGACTCCTGTGGCCATAGCATATTCTGCAGTTCTGAATACCTGTCCAATTGTGAAATACTCAGACCTATATATAGCTTTAGCAAAGTGATATTAGCATCTGGCTGGAGGCTTCGTGTGTTGCAGCACGGAGTCTACATCAGTTGCATAGCTGAGGGGCAATTCCTTGATCTGAAAAGTATCCTAATACGTTGGCTTCCTTAAGTTTCCCACATAATTTGTATTGTCTCATCTCTTCCTTTATAACTTGTCCATAGAAGAGACAACCGTAAGAGGAACCCTTTTGGAGCAGACCACTCTCTCCCTCAGTGACCAGCCAGATGTTTCCCTGAAACACAGGAGGGTATAAAGGAAAGAGTCAACCTTCTGTTTGAAGGGGAATTTAAAATGTTGACAGTCCAACTGGAAACTGAAACTGGCATTTTCTCATCAACAGTGGACATCATGTCCGGGGGGGAGGGGGCTGCCACCTCCGTTTGCAAGCAGCCATGTGGTTGAGTGGACTTGACGCAAGAGGTAGGGTTTTCGTCCCCCCTCAGCCCTGAAGCTCACTGGGTGATTTTGAACCAATCACTGATTCTCAGACCTATCTACTTCACAGGGTTTTTGTGAAGACAAAATGGAGGAGGGTTAGGTGGGCTGTCTTGGGTACCTTTCTGGAAAAAGGTGGGATATAAACATACACACAATGAATAAATTTACCTGGACACTATGTCCAACACCCAGGGCCTTTGTTTGAGTGCCAACTCTGAGGGAGGCTTAGAGAAGAGCAACAATAGGTAGGGCTTCTTCTGTGGCTGCCCCCCACCCCATCTATGGAATGATGCGTGTGCACGCATCTGTGTGTGTAGGTGGGCAGGATGAGATTAAGGGAGAACGTGTGTATTTGAAAAGGGTATGGCTGGCTCTGCATGGCACTCTGAATGGCAGCTCTGCACATTGCAATCTTTTGTTGCAGATTCCACACATTAATATTGTAACGAATGAGGTAATACAGTCACTGTACTGAATAGCTGAGCTACTGTGATGACACGGAATATTCACAAAATGTCTATATGATAAAGCAAGGTGTTCTTCTGAAACAATACAAATACCTGCAAAGTGACAAGTTGCCTTATGTTCTCCAGTAGGTAATCAGTGGTAGCATTCTTTAATCTAAAGTCTCATACTCACTGTATGCCACTGTCCATCATTATATTTGGCTTTACTCCTGATTGTTAACATTCTACCATCATCAGCAAGTAAAAGTACATAACGCCCTTTTGAAAGGTAAAGAGCTGTGTATCTCTTCTCTAGCTTGTTTCCCATGGAGAAGATTAATCCTTTAGCAGACAATGTACGAACATCAACAGCAAAGTGGGACCTTAGATATTAAAAAAATCAAGAAAATGAAACAATAAGTATATGTATGTATATGTATGCATGTATTTCAGTACAGCAGTATTCTGTGCATACAGTACTTTGTAACACTTATGTCTCTAGTATTCTCAAAAACCCTGTAATGAAGGAGATAAGTTGCTCTCAATGACACTCAATGAACTTCAAGACTATGCAGAGATTTGAACCTAGATAGCCATACTAAAGTCCAAGAGTTATCACCAGGTAAATAAACAAATTCCATGTCCTCTTTTTAATTATGATGATGATGACTGCTATTCCTACAATGTGATATAACATCTCTTCTTGGGAAACCCAATCTGAAAATAACTGTAAGGTGCCAAGGGGCTCAGGCAGCAGAACCAAGAGGCATCTTTCCCTCTGTACCACTTGGACAGCTTTCTGGTTGAGGGCATGCCTGAACTAAACTCTGTTATGCTGCACCATTCCCCATATGGTGGTGGCTGAGCTGGAACTGCAGTTCTTCAGTACATCTAGAACCACGTGACTTGAGGAACTAATAGGGGTGCACTGAACTGCAACTGCACGCGTGCACATGGGTACACACATGCACACCATGAAGTTAAACAGAACAATAGCACTACTGTTGCAAATGAAAGAAGCGGTTATTCTTGGCACACGTTCCAGGACCAGGATGGCACCAATTCTTTGGCAGAGGATGGTGAGGCCTGGGAAATGAGGTCTAGAGACAGAGCTGTAGGAAGGGAAAGGACCTATCTCAAGGCTGCCATTCATTCCCATGTTCCAGCAGACCCTTCGATCAGACAGGGTTTGGAAGTGCCAGTAAGGGACATGGAAGAGGAGTCTGGTCCAATCTCCGACCCCATGACATGGCACCAGGAGAGAAGGGATAGCCACCTAGAGGGCCTGCATACATCTGGGAGGCTTACCCATCTCAACAAGGACACAGCCAGAATGGTGGGGCCCAGGGTTACTGAAAAGGAGAATCCTCAGAAATAGTCTCTAGTTTGGGCTCAGTGAACTGCTCTGTGCATGTTCAGGGTGTCTTTCCTTGTTGGCTAATAGCTTGCTGGTTGTACATTGAAAATAAAGTGTTTTTGCCAAAGAACTGTCTATTATTTGGGAGAGAAAACCCAGCTCCCGACAACCACATTCTCTTGGGCTTGTCTTTGCCCAGATCTCTGCTTCTGATTTTTGGTCCTCATCTACTCAACAATGTACCTGTTCACTAGACATCTGATTATGTCTCTGCTTCAGCCCCTCATTTTCCTAATCTACTGTCTAACCTCTAGTCTGCTCATGTCCATATCTTTTGTTTTAGGCTTGTTGGACCCTCACCAACCTTGCTGAACTCAAACATGAGCCACATTCTGCCACAAAGGCCTGTGAAGTTCTAGGTTCTTCAAAGGAAAAGAGTTTAGAACAATTAATCTTAATTACCTGTCTCCTGATGCTGCTGGGGAAGTGGCAAACAATAAATGAGTGTCAGGAGTGTTGCCAAAGTGATATGCTCCAGTGACAAAATTTAACTTAGTGTGTAAAGGACACTCCTTGTTGTTTTGCTGCAGACCTGCATTTGTCAAATAGGCAATTTGTTTTTTCTTCTGGAAGCACAAGAGAAAATTAAAATGTTAAGTACCAAAGCCCATTGCAAGACAGGGGTTTTTGTTTTGTTGATAAGAAGCAAGGGCTAGGCATTTCACTGAAATGGCTCATTAAGCACTTCTTTCTTGTCCTGTCTGAAAATTCACATCTTGTTTTTCTCTCTTCTAGTTCCTGTAATAGATCTGAAGGTATTTTTAGGCCTATGGTTCCATTCAGAACTGGAGATCTTCAACTGTTGATACTATTTTCCACTCAGCTTTCAATGTAGTTTTGCAATTATATTATCCAATCAAACTAAATCCTCACTCTGAAGATAGTGTTGTAAAATTCACTTGATCTGTTTGTGGAGCTGAGAAAGGGAGAAAGGCAATGAGGTCTGAGCCCGGCTGCTGTTGCTGTCTTGGCAAGTGCTGGCATTTCCCACCATTACTGCACAGTAACAGATATGAACAAACAGCATCTGAATATGGGGGAAATCAGCTTAACTTGACGATGCCTGTCGTCACAGTGAAGCACTAAAAGGTATTCAAGAAACTGAATCCAGTAATAGTACAGGTGTGCAAACAAAGTGGCTGACAGCACAAGCACACAGACATATTGCCCATCATAAAAAGAAAAAGGGCATTTCCCAGAAGACTTGACAAAGATCAGTGATATGAAATACTTCACATAGAGGAACAGAACAGACAAGACCCACTTTCGGCCTAATATTAGATCACATTCATTAAAGGTTCTGACATCTTTTATAATAACTCTCTTCTTTTCGTGGTAATGAATGATAAGCTTTCCAACATGAAGCTGTAAATTGGCTCCATGTACTTTAGATTTTGTCACAGAACTAAGATCCAAGTGTGACACAAGGAGTGCTTTCTGGTACATGACCTCTAGATGGCACTCCAGGATAGCAGAATACTGCCAATATTCAAGAAGAACTTCTGCTTTCTTTTGCTTTTACAATTAAATACTACATTTTTCACACTGTAAAATGCCGCTGAAAATGCTGGCTAAGCACAAAAGCAAAACTGGATGATTGTAAAATATCATGAGCAGGGAATCACAAGTGCACAATAAATGCTTCATGTAGAAAAGCTCAATATTTAAATATAATTATTGCAAAGTATGAATGTATCCTGGACAACCACATGTGGGGATTACATGGACAGAGCCAGCTTGAGCCAGGGGTCAGGCTAGATGGCTGGGAGGCCACTTCTGACTCGATTTTTCCTATGTTTTCTATATTTCTGTTTCTACTATTCCAAGATTATTAGCAAATAGCTTACATGGCTATGTAGATGGTGAATGAACTACTGACAAAACTTTCCATTCCTTCTTGACAGATGTGCACATCTGCATGCACATACACAGCATATATAACATATATTTCCCTTTGTTCCCTAGTCTGTCACAATGTCATAATCTAGAAGGATTTTCAAGTGTTTGTCACTTCCGGAAGGTCTAAATGTTGGTCTTTGTGGAAATGTGGTGGTGGTGGTGGTGGAACCTGATGCCGGGACACTTGACAGTCTTTAAAACCAAGGAGAGGAACTTCTAAGGGTTCAGGAACAAGGCACCATCATTCAGCACTGTTCCTATATTCCTGGTACTTGGTTCTAGTTTCTAACTCATTTCAACTCAAACCCAGGTTTCCCAGAATTCCCACTAAATCAGTGTCCTTACTTATAATCTTATGGCTTTGCTATCACCACTCTCTCTATCCTTTCCCAGGATCAAAAACACAGAAAACATCCCTTCCAATGTGATTCAGCCTCACCTAGGTTGGAACTATCACTATGGAGTTTCCATGTAGCCTTCCATGACCAAGTATAACACAGAAACTTGTAACATAAAGACCAAGCTCCCAGAAGAGTTTCTAAATGAGCATGATCACTTTCAAGGATCCCAAGGAGAATCACTTGCCACAGAGATCCTATTTGTTGGAGGCAGCTTCACAGTGATCACATCATATGTTCTAAGCCCTCAGTCCCTCAATATTTTATTATTATAGTGTTATTTATTTAGTTATACTATTATACCTGGAATGGCTCAGAAACAATAATCAGAAGAAGAGATATTCCCTTATACTCTGCTTATACTCTAAAAGGATCTAAAACATTACAAGAGACAAAAAACAGGAAGGGAAGAGGGGAAAAAGAAGTCTTCCAACAGGGCTGGGGGAACGGCCCAGCTTTCCTCTCAACTCCCGTCTCAGCACAGCCAGTTGGAATAGCTGCTGGTGGTGACAGAGGAGGAGGAAAGAAATGCAATTTTTAATTGCATTTGCTTCTGGTTTATTCCAAGTGAAGCTTCTTGAACACCTCAGGAATTGCCTGGGAGTCACATGTTAACAGAGACGGTAAGCACTTGCATTAGATTGCCTCATAAACCAATGCAATTCTTTTCAAATCTCTGAATAAGCCCACATTTCCAACATTTTTCCTTCGGGAAGGGGTCTGCAACTGTCCTAGCAAAGAAACAGAAAAATGTCTCCTTTGCATGCTAAGAGGTTGCTTTGAAGGATGGCCCCCCCAGGAAAATGAAGGAGTGGGAGACAGATGCCCATAGCCTGTAGAGGACTCTTAAGCTCTCCTCTGCCACACATAGAATCATAGAACCATAGAATAGTAGAGTTGGAAGGGGCCATGAAGGCCATCAGGCCCAACCCCCTGCTGTTGCAGGACATCAAGTTACACCATCCCACTCAGATGCCTTTACTTTTCTCAGGATTGGGTCTTCAATGGAGGAATAAGCCCAGAAAGTGTTTTCTAGCTTGGATTAATCAGAGCCAGGGTAGGCTTCAGGGGTTTCTTTGGAGATGAGTATTGGTGAATCCACAAAATTTGTTTCTGGGTCTGAGTCTGACAAAATTCCCCAATGCCTTTGAGCCATGAGCAATAGCTAGGTTGCACCTGGGCTAGTCCTCCACAATATTCAATGCACCTCTTCAATGCAATCAATGCAATCACTTTCATCCACCCATATAAAATAGTCTCAGGACCTAATAATTTTACCTCTAGAATAAAAGAGACACATCATGAGCAATACAATTTTGTAATAAATTAAAAATGTTGTCACAGTGTTATTAAACAGACTATTGTTCCTCTGCATTGCTATATTGCGTTCTGAAATGAACTGACACTAGGCTGTTGTTGCAATGATGCTTGGGTATGTATTGCTTTTCTTGTGTATTAACTTCTTTGAGTACCTCTATGAAAAAGCCAGTGTACAATTGACAGAATTAAGTTAATATAGATGGATTTCTCTAATTCAGGGGTAAGCAACTTGTCAGGTTCTGGGGCTTAATTTCTCTTCCCCTAGAACCCACTGGGGGGTGGGGGGCACACACAGGTTATCATTGTGTTGAACTTGTGCAGTGTAGTGTCAAAAACACAGGCAGTTTACCACTGGATGTTGGCAGTGCAGTGGCAGCAAAAAGGGCTAGCTTAGCTTTAGACTAAAAGGCAAAGTGGGCATATGGATTGTTTTAAAGCAAAACTCTTTTTTACCAGCACGCCACCAAAATTCAGCACTAACCACTAATATTTTTCCTGCCACTTCAGCAAAACCCAGGGCAGCTGGACAGCAGGGGATGCACTAGAGGCCTGGAGAGGCTCCTGCAGCCCAGAGGTTCCCACCCCGCACCCCCTGTGGCCAACTACTCTAATTAGGTAACATCAGATATTAGGCATTTTGGTTGTATAGATTTCAGATTATTATTTTTTCTTTACAGAACCCTGAGCACCCAACCTTCAAAATCTTCAGATGATGCCGGTCTGTTAATTCTGTCAGCAGCATCAGCTGTGGTTGTTTCCTTATCATACAGAATCCTAAGGACACATCAGTCTTCTTAGTATTATCAATTAGATTTTGAACTTGAGGAAACTCTCTTGAGCTAGAACAAGGATAAAAGAAAGTTCCGTTATTGCACATCGTCTTTTCGGTTTCAGATTAGCTAAGGAAATGAACCACCTAAAATTAAGCGCGAGTGCTTGGGCAATGCAGATGTTTTGTCAATGACTGCGTATTCAGCTGAGATTAGCCAACTTACTGTTTTAAAAATGTTATTGCCTATACTATGGGTGTCTTTCCTGGGCACAGCTGCCTCCAGAACAGCTCTCCCAAGGATGAATTTGCATAGGCATGTGGTCCAAAAAAAAATGCCACCTACAAATGTGCCAGCTGGTATACAGAATAAAAGCCAGCCAGAGAGGCAAAGCAATTCAAGGGAAAACTTGGCTGAATGTTGGTTTATTTTAACAGTCTTCTAAACAGAAAATGTTTCTAAATGGTTTGCAACTTCTCAGCTGTTCTTCTGTGTGAGACTTATTCTTTCTCTTGCAACCACTTGTCTTTGCCAAGGCAGTAACCCTGAATCTGATTGCAATAATTTTCTCACTCTTTGTGTTAGGGAACAGCAGATACATTTGAAAAGTTACCCAAGCTTAAGACTACAGCAGGTAAAAGATTGCAGCCCAATCTGAGAGAAAATAGCAGGTGGACTCACAAACACCAAAGTGGTAATGAGGGTATAAAAGTATCATACTGCTATATACAAATGTTTTGTAGGGCTCTGATAGGCTGATGCTGCACATGGAATCTCTGAGAGTCACACTGTGCACATATTTAATTTGCACTTATCCCCTGATGATCAACAGGGCAGGCTAGGTAAATAGCAATGATAAACACAGGCAGTACAATGGATTCCCAGGAGAGATGGCCCAAATGCAGCCAAACATAGAACTGACTTTTTTCAGGGATGGCATGCTGCCCCTCTACTTCCACTTTTAGGCCTGCAAATAATAATTTCCCAGCAGGCCTCAAGAGACAAAATCCATGCTATTATAATTTGGGTTTGCACCTTATAACATGTGAGAACCAACATGTGAGAACCAGAAACAGGCTTCATGAGATTCTGTGACCTACCCAAGTAAATACATCAATGTTATTTAAATTTAAATTTTGCCATATATTTACCTTTGTATAAAGACATTGGAAATACAACCTTCAAAGTTATTCCCACCCAATTCTATTGATGGAGTCGATGTTTTTCTTCCAAGGATCGCAACTACTGTTGACTGAAGCACATCATCGACCAGTAACTTAACCCTGGAGCAAGAAATATTTTTTATTTTTTGTATTTTTGTATTTATTGGTAATTTATTATGTTCTATTGTATTTCGATGTATTCTATTGTGTTGTAAGCCGCCCCGAGGCTTCGGCAAGGGGCGGCATAGAAATGTTATAATAATAATAATAATAATAATAATAATAATAATAATAATAATAATATGCAATCAGGGGGGAAATCAACAGAGCAACTTATTCAGCCATCTAAAGTTTGACTTACTTAAAACATTTTGTACTATTTTTTAACAACTGTCTTCAAAGCAATTTATTTAATTTTTTTATTAAATTTTATTAAATTTAAAGCAATTTATTACCCTCATGTAAAGATAAAGCAACAAAAATGAAATAAAAAACAGTAAATAAAGCCAGTATCAGATCAAACACAGATTTTCAAAATTTGGCCTCAATTAATAGAAGCCCTGCTCTCAAAATTCTGGTAGAAGAAACATGTTTTTGTCTGCCTCCAAAAGGAAGCGAGCATTGAAATCAAATGAGCCCCCAAAGGAACTATTCTAGAACACCGAGGCAAGTGGTGACAAGGCACGGGCAGCCTCTGAAGTGGGGAGTGTCACAATATCGCCCTGGGCCCCACTGGTGGCTCAGCCCTCCCACATTTGCTACCAAAATTCAGGGGCGTGTCAACAGCCTCCCACTATTTTGCTTTAGAACAAGGTAGGCAGGGAGTTCCATGCCTACATGTCTCATTTAAAAAGAAATCACTGCTTTTTTTGCCACTGAGCCACTGAATTTCAGCAGCAAATTTCCAGTGGGGGTGATTGTGAGTTCCAAAAAAGGCTGGGAATGGACATATATATTGTCCTTTTGTTCTGAACATGTGGGTCTGGTCCAGCCATGGCACCCTACTATATGTATGCATGTATTTATTTAATCACTGTCTTTAAATAAATACAGATAATACTTTACTTTATTTGAAACCTAACGTCAGGTTTGAGGATACTTAGGATGGCACAGCACCACAAACCCAGAGATGACAAACACAGTGGTGTTTGAATACAGTGGTGAAATGTGGATGCAGAATATTAATAAACAAGCAAATTAAAGCTTACTCTCTCCTTTCTCTGTGACCTATTTGATTTCTGAACAGACCAGGGTTGCTTCATGGGCCTCCAGAGATGCCTGAGCAAGTGACACATCAATTCCTTCCTCTGAAGCTTAGAACAAGAGTCAGTGCCTCTTGCCATGAATTTTATATGGTTCCTCTCTCCCTCTACTGCAAAACCTGCCAAGGTGCACCCAGGCTCCCTCCTGCTTCCTGGGAATGAAGGCATTTCACTAAGGTAAACTGCTTTGTCCTCACTGCAAAAGCTTGCATTGTCTACAGAATGGCTGGGGAAGGCAGCTTCAAGTCTACCATCTCTATTATTATTATTATTATTATTATTATTATTATTATTATTATATTTTTATACTGCCCATAGCCAAAGCTCTCTAGGCAGTTGACAGCAATAATCATAGAATCATGCACGCAAGTCACCCATCCCACTTCTGCCCAGGCCTGACCCTGCTTAGCTTCCAAGATTAGGCAGGATCAGGCACTTCAGGCTAGTACTCTTCCTTACAAGCTGAAGGCCATGAAGCCTTGGCATGCTTCCAAGAAACTATTTTGGCTTTTGGACAGGTGGGAATGTCACTCACTGCTTGTTGGACTTCAATAATTTCCTTGCCTTTTCACTGGCAGACCTAGAAAAATACACCACCCCTAACCTAATAGATGCTATTCTGGAATTTACACAAGATGGCACCCTAACCAGGTAAATTATTATTCCAACAGCAGCTTTTTCTTTTCAGAGTATAACAGGAAACAACACTTGAACAATATAATCAACTGTATAGCAGTACTAAGTTAGTGGTGTTCTTTTTCCACACTGGTCTGTGATTAATCAGAGTAGACTCAGACTGCATAATTTATGGAGTAATTAGTGTTCAGATTGGGCCTCCTATGCACTTGGTTTTGAATTACAGCACAAACCTAGACACATGTAAAGAAATGCTTGGGGAAATGGCACGTGTTTGAGGTGCTTTGCGTGCCAAGACTTCCACGTTCACCTCGTGAACTTGCACCACTTACGTACAAACCAGTATTTTTCTGTAGATCGCAAAAGGCCTATGGAAGCAGCGTGCTTGTTCCATGTGTCTGAATGCCTGGTTCAAAACATCATTATTTTAGAAATCAGCCATTACATTGGACAAGTTACTGCTAATAGGGAAAACTCCAGATCCAATCATTATCTCAGTGCTTTCTAGAGGCATGAAGAATTCAGGCAGTCATTTGGTTGTCACAGAACAGGGTTATCCCATGCCATGCCAGTTTGTCTCTCACTGGCTGGCATTGACAGGGTAAGAAGGCAGCTATGATAGCAAACGCATGACTGAAAGTCAAACCAAGCGGGACTGTCACTTGGCATGTGTATCACCAGAATGGAATCACTGAAGTTTCCCCCAACCACCTGTACCCAAGGCAAAACAAATTAATAGTGGACATAATCTTCATTGCTTCACAGTTCATCCTATTTTCCTATTAGCTGCATTGATGTTAACCTGTTATGAATCCTGGCTTTCTAGCAAATACCAAGGGATCTGAGGAAACTATTTCTGAGCACAATGACTCAATGAAGATGTAGAGGAGGAAGGTTAAAAATGCCCATGCATTCAGCATGTACAAAGAAAGCCAAGGTATCAATTCGTACAGGCTGGTTATGATAGAGCAATCTGGTTAGATATAGTTTCAGTCTGTTTGGAGCTCTCTATGTGGGCAGGCCTGACTTTATTCTCTTCTCTAAGAAGGAAAACTCAACTCATCATGGCAAATGGCAATGAAATCTCACAAAGAAGTGTGGAAGACCTTTGCACTCTTAGCTGCAGTGTTCTTGATGGCAGTGGATATATGAGCTGTTTCCAGAAAAGGCCAATCAAGCAGAAAGAAAAGCACACACTGACCTGGTTAACTAGGAGTGGATCACTTGTGACCTATAACACTCATCATCCCAAGCGGTGCTGGCTGAGACTATTGGGAACTGTAGAGCAAAACATCTGGACAGCCATACATTACCAGTCTTTTAGTAAATCATGATCAAGTCAATGTTACGTGCTTGAGATGGAATGACCATGAGCAAGGGCTTCCCCACCTCTTCGCATCCCATACAGCTGGAAGGATGACTTATTCAGAACTATTTTCACTTCTACAGACTCTTGGTTTAGCATACAGTTAAACCAGAGAGTGTGGCTTAAAATAAATCTTGGTTAGTTGAACAAGTCAGGTACATAACCCTCATTTGAAGCTTCCTTGTTTAGAAGCAGAAGCTTACTGTAAACCACCATCACGGGTTGCTACTTAAAGCTGGGGTTCTGAAATCAAATGCTGCTTAGCTCATCTTCCTAGCAGCATGTGATGGCTAGAGGAGAGGCAAGTGCTTGAGCATGAGGCTTTGCTCAGGCTTATTGGAACTCATGCATAGAGTGCTGTACCATAGATTAGAATTATGTGGAAATCAGGCCACTGAGGACAAAATTATCCTTTAAAAATAAGGAAAGAACACATGTTTAGGTACAATGTAGATTATTTTCATTAAGACTGCAACATGAATTTGGGGAGGGGGAGGCAAAGAGAATGTGGTCTCAAGGAATGTTTCCAAGGAATGGGGACAGGATCCCTTCCTACCCCTGTGATCCAAAGGAAAATTGCAGCAGGTATCCACAGGAAAAATGCTTACACTACATACTGTGCAAGTACAGTAATGTCTAGTCTGACACTCAGTATTCAAATCTGGTTCTATGTTCTTGCATTAACAATACTATGATATTTCAGTATGGAACTATGCACAGCATTGTGCGGAGAATGTGCAAATAAATAAGGTTCAGTTGGTTCTGAGAAATACCTCCACTAGTGTCACTAATCCTAATGCAGTTTAAATTATCTAGATCTTTATAACCAAACATCAAGTCAGCCTATAGAACTGCACAGTCTCACTCTGCATCCACTCTGTCCCATAATCAAAGTATTGGACTTACTTGTCTCCTTCTTTTATCACATTTATGTAATGCATTAAACCATCTTCATATCTCTTGTTAGACTGCCCTTCTTCATCAGCTAACTTTACTACTACAGAACCATTTCTCAGGAGAATAGTAAACATATCAGGCTAGAAAAACACAAACAGATTACCCACAAAAATGTCATTTTCAGGTTATAAAGATTTAAGTGTTGGCAACAAATCAATCTGATTATATACACAGAAGAAACAAAGAAAAAACATACGTCTCCTACCCGTAAGTTGTAACTGAATAATGTTCCATCAAGTGCCAATGTGTGAAAGCCAAATCCAACTTGGAAATCATTGGGAAATGGGAAGCCAGGTTCATTCAAATCAAGTACTCCATTCTTGGAAAAATGTGCAGTTCTCACAAGCTAAAAATATAAAGGGATAATGGAAACCTTTTTTATTTTCCAAACTCTAAGTTTCACTCCTGTCCTCCCACACTTCTGCAATGATATCTAAAGGGAGCTTAATGCATTTCACATGTGGTGGGGCTCTGGGGCTCATATATCTCATTGCAGGAAAGATCTACAAGTCCTCAATATGCCAAGTTTTGTTTTAAAGCTGTCATTTGTGCATGAAAAGTCATAACAAAGCAACCTTGAACACTAATAGGAAGTATTAGTAGGCAAGATTAATAGGCAGTATCCAAAGAAGCTGTTATATGCAGATTACCTTCCAATCCTCAGGGCATTTTCTACCAACACCAAGAGTCTCAGAGAAGGAAGAAAGAGGTCCAGAGGGAGTTTTCACACTCGTCATGCACCCACGAAATGGAGGTGTGGATATATTAAAACTATTTCAGAAATAAAACAAAAACAACAAACTGTTTTTAAAGTTGCTATTATTTATTCCTATGGCTTTTTTCGGGGGGGGGGGGGGGAATTCTGATTTGATCATGATCTATCTTACTTATCTTTATGGCAATTCAAAAATGAGATGGTGGCTTGTTCTAGATCTGTGTTCCCTAACCTGGCTCACTTTAGATGCATTAGATAAGGATTGGGGCCTTAGACTCTTGTTCCCACACCTGATGCTCTAATCATTGTTTCTCACTTTGCATGTTATTTCAGTAGTACATTCCCCTCCCCACCAGAATTAAGAGCAGGTCCCTTTATATTTCGGGGGTGGATGAGTGGGTTTTCTTTCTCTGCCTTTCTATATATTTCATTACACAACCACAAGGCAGCATCAAGGTGTATTATAGTGGGTGTGAATAGGTGAGCTTCCCATGGTTTCTTATCATGAAATTAGGAAATAATCACTGGTTTTCTTCACTTAAAAAGTGGCAAAAATGGCTGAAAAACACAGGAATGGCCCTGGAAGATGACCGCCTAGTATAAAGCTGCCACAAACTACTATGAATCGGGGAGCATGAGTGCACAATGAGTGCCTTATGTAGAAATGCCTCTTGTGTTTGTGAACTGGAACCCTAAACTAAGGGCTGCTTTGACATGTTCTAGATTAAGAGTGTAAATGTATGCCAGGTGGACATTCCGGGCATAATCATGCTCCCTTCCCACACTGTAAAACTTGGAAATCCCTATACTCAAAGGATCTGGAAGCAGTTGGGGCATGGAAGGACAATGGGGTCAACAAGCTGGCCAATTCTTCTTTCCTTGCATGCTGTCCAGTGAAGGGGCAGACAATCTATGGGAAAGGGCCAAAACATTCTGAATGCTTTGGCTTAGAAAAAAGGTGACCAAGGAAAGGCATAATAAAATAGAGGATTATAAACTATGTTATAAAGCCTGGTATAAAGAAAGTGATTAGAGGTATGCTTTTTCTCCTTTTCTCCTCATAACTGTTGAATTTAAGGCCATCCCATGAAACTTATTGGCCGGACTGCTCAGGGAAAGGGCTTTTCACACAGTAACTTGGTTTGGACAACATGCTATAGCCCATTGTGGCTTCTTTAAAGTCTTGATGAGCTGCAGTGTCTGTGCTACCTTCCTGAATATTCAACCCCCAACCACAGGTTGTTGTTTCATGTTGACCTGACCAGTGGGGGATTATGTAAGGCTTATACAATTCTAATCCCAGAACCCACAGCCAGTTCTCCAGGTAGGTGAGAACAGCTGTTTTAACCATCCTATAACCCACAGAGCTAGCCACAGATTCGTACAACATGACAACACATGCCTTAATTTTCAGGAGGGTGCCTCTGGGCACCACAGCTTGTGCAAACAGCACTCAGTTCATCCTTACAAGCTCACTGATACAAAACATGCCAATGAGCACCAGTTTATACGGCTTTAAAAGGAGGGTAAACAAATTCATGGAGGATAAAGTTTTTCAAGAATTGCAAGTTTATCAGTAGTTGCAAACTATTATGCTACCTTCAAGATCATAGGCAATATGCCCCTGAATTAAAAGCTGTGTGAGCTTGCTAGAGAGATCTTCTTAGCCACTGTGGGACACACAGGAATTCCCCTTAATTTCACCAATACACAGCAACAGAGTGGAGTGGGAAGGCTGGACCTGTCTAGTGCCACTTCCCCACCCTTTTCCCCCTTGCAGATGCTCCATTTTCCAGTCTCTGCTATATTTTACAAGGCAGTAAGTACCCCAGATGCTTCTAAGCATGTACCTTTTTCTTGCTACTGTCATGTGTTGTGTTGATGCAGGGGGCAGTGGATCTTGTCTTGCTGTGCTACGGCCTAGAGTGCTGCCCTACTCTTAGACACGGCAGGAGCCATTGAGAGGAGACCTTACTGTGTCCTCAACAAATACTCATCATCTTTAGCAAGATGCCACCCTACACTTCAGCTCAAGTCTAGGAAAGGACTGTTTAGTCACCCCTCAGTTTATGTGTTTATTTACACCAGGCCTGCATGTGATCCACCAAGTCAATTGCAGCCTATTACCCAAACCAGCCACTTTGAGATGATGACAACACCCATATCAGCCACTGCAGTTCTCTGGTAGACCACCACACATGGATGATCTTTGCATTTAGCATGTGGTTACACAGGTTGGGAGGACCTGATCAGCATCCATCAAGCTCAGTACCACTTCCTGTCCTCAGGAATGTTGTCACTCACCGTTCTCTTATGGAGGTTGGAATTCCACCCAAGTAATATGAATTGAAGAGAAATGTCTTCATAAATATAGTGCCAATCTTGCTTAAATAAACCTTGTCTGAAGTAATTAATAACTTAATCTGAAATTAATAAAACAAACAGTGTAAAGTAATGAACATTTGAGCCCCACCCTTACGTCAAATATAAGCTGATGGGATCTGAGCTTGCATGGACTGACTGTGGGTGACATCTTGATGAAATTGTTGACTCAATGTGTGGCTTCTCTGAAAAAGGCAAGCTTCACATTAGGCCTAATTAGCAAAGGAACTGAAAACAGGACTGCCTGTTTTCATGAGCAGAGCTGGCTGAAACCAGGGGGTCAGACTAGATGGCCCAGGAAACCCCTTCCGACTCGCTCAGTTTCTATGTTTCTATGTTATATACTGTCCTTGTAAAAATCTATGGTACAAGTCTCACGTTGTACACTTCTGGACACCACACCTAAACAAAGAGCTGAAAAAAGAGTCATTTAAAAAGAATATTGTAGAGCTGGAAAACAAGAGCAATTAATATGACTCATGGACTCAAACAAGTCGTCCATGAGGAAAGGTTACAACAGAATTGTTTAGCTGAGGAAAGAGGCAAGTAAGGGGAGACATGTTAGATGTGCACAGAATTATGCATGTTGCAGAGAGTGGATAAGGAGATGTTTTTCTTCCATAACACTAGAATTCAGAATCTTCCCATGAAGCTGACTCAGGAGAGATTCAGAAAAGGTACAAGGAAGTACTTCTTCACATAGTGTATACTTAAACTATGAAATTCACTTTCACGAGATATAGTGATGGATTCCAATTTGGATGGGTCTAAAATTCATGGAGGAGAAGGCTCTCATTGGCTTCTAAACCTGATGGTTGCACGCAACTTCTGGTATCAGAAGCAGTTCTGGGGAACTTGGGCCTTTGCACTCATGCCCTATTTGTGGGATCCTGTGGGCAGGTCACAATGACTGGCCACTGTGTGAACAGAATGTTGGACTAGATAAAACTGTGGTCCAATCCAGCATGTTATATTCAAATTTTAAACTTGCCTAAGAGAAAGGTAAGTAAATTTAGCGCAGTGCATAGTAAAACAAACCAGCCAACATATAGCATTATTGGGACCAGTTAAGACACTTGGTTTTTCCAATCACTCAGGCTAATCTGCAGGGAATCTCCCTTTAAAGCAATACCAACTTCAGATAAGAGATCCCTCCCCTTTCTATATTAATTTGAAAAAGCCAAAAATATTCAGCCAGTGCAAAACTGGTTTACAGTATTTATTTTTCCTGAATTTAAATCAAGAGGCTCCACCTTTTCATTATCTTCATAATGGCTTTCACATTCATCTTATGCCTTTATAAACAAATGTTGAATTTATTTATTGAAACCTTAGGTTTTCAAAGTATTCAGCAATTATTTCAAAGAATGAAGCATCAGTATTTGGTGATCATGGAGAATACAAAGCCATAAATAATAACAAAACTGTAATCATAATTATGCTTAGCCACAAACAGGTGAGAGATAAGCACAGCAAGATAAAATCTCAGAAGGCCTTGTGAAAGAATGACACATATATGGAAGGCTTTGCACGTGATAAATACATTTAGGATCTAGAGTTTCTTCCTCAGTATGCAACCTGCATACACTTATCTTCTCTCAGGAGGAAACATTCCATTTGTACACCTAAAAAACCTGACACAGCACTGATGCATGACAATCCAGAAATGATTTAAAGAGCATTCCCTTCATCCAGCAGCAAATATGAAACCCCAGAACACCTGAACTTTGGTATTGTGCCAATTGCTTTGGAAGCACATGAGCCCCAGTCAGTGACTCAATGGGGACATACGCAGTGGCGGTGTCCATTTCCCTGCCCTACATACTTGTGCCCTTATGCTGAACATCTCAGAGCAGCTATAGAGATGCCTACATGTAAGGGTGAGGTACTCATTTCACAAATTTATACTTTAAAGTTGTTTCAGAAATGATTACTGGAACTGTTGTTCTGTCAGATTTTTAAATAATTTCTATACATCTAAATAAGTGTTTAAAAGTTTCTTCTATGAAGGAAGACGCAAAAAATAGCTAGAAGATGTCAGCTAGAACTGTTTTCCTTTTTAAAACGTGTGAATGGTCGAGAGATCTCTGCTACAAATGTTACATTATATAAATAAATAAAGAAATAAAGACTTGTTTGAAATAAAAGAAGAAAGACTTACTTGTTGAAAGTCTTCATTGTTTATGACTGTTTTGTCTTTTACTTCTCGGGGAGGCTGAGAATCAACTTTGTATGAGAATACTAAATAGCCCTTATCAATCCTCAAACTAATGAACTTGTCCTGAAATTCAAAAAGGATTGTTATGGTAATGCAGTAGAGGCATCTCTTAGAATTATGCACATCTAACCACATTCTGTGCATTCATTCTGACAATTTCTGCTTTAATCTCTGTTCACATGGTTCTAGACAAGAGAGTACACATGTGAAGCCAATACGGAACTTGTAAGCATCCAGCAACACAATTCAGGATTGTCTGGACTTCCTTCAATGCCTCCCACCTTTTCAGAGCAACATGATACAGGATATTGCTGCTTGGTGAATCAGAGTGGCTTCTTCTTTGCCTAGGCATCACATGGACTTATTGTCAGGTATTCTGAGATTTGAACTGGGAACCTCAGAGTATGAAATTCCTGCTACTGTGGGATCAGGCATGAGGGTGCATTTAGGGACAGGAATTTGTAACATCAGCCCTACAACTCATGGGCAATATGAAGCCTCGGGACTGACCAGGCCTGGGACCAAAGCCACTGACCTCTGGGACTGGACTCAAGTTCCCAGGCTGCCTGACATTCAGACAATACATTGATGCATTTTCCAACTGTTCAGTAAGCTTGTGTTGTGTGACCCACGACTTGGCTTGAACATGACATGGACTCATGGGTTATTTAACCCATAAATTACAGGGGAGGGCTGTGAGCAAGGGAGCAAGTATATTGCCTCCTATGCACTCATCAATCCTGTTTTCAATCATCTTTAATCAGCAGTCCAGGAGCGCACCACTGTTTGATGGGTCATCAGAGATTGGAACTCTGGACTGTTGAAGGACCAACTACGTAGAGCTGAACCCAACAAAAAAGCATGGGTGATTGTTAGCTTAAATTCTGCATTGTTTAACTCTAAACAATCCAGAGTTCCAGGTTCCAACATCACATCAAACAACTCAGGAGTAGGCTGAGTTGGGCTGTTCATTCAAGCTGATTCAAAATGGAAATGGTGAGTGTGAAGGAATCAGTGTGCTTGTGCCCTTGCTTGTAACCGTGGCATGTCACATCAGTCGCGAAGTCATGCCCGAACCATCGTGACCCCATGGACAACACTCTTCCAGGCCTTCCTGTCCTCCACCATCCCCCGGAGTCCACCTAAGCCCACGCCGACTGCTTCAGTGACTCCATCTAGCCACCCCATCCTCTGCTGTCCCCGTCTTCTTTTGCTGTCAGTTGTTCCCAGCATTAGGGATTTAAACAACCGAGTGGCTGTCATTACCTATATTGTAAGAGATATAAAAACACACACATTCTTTGGACATTTGCTACTAATTCTGATTGTGGTTCAATTGCAATACATGTTGAAGTTTATTTATTACATTTCTATACTACCTAATAGCTAAAGTTTGTAGTTCAAAGTTAGTAATGCATAAACAACAAAAGATCTTCACTTGAAGTTAGTGGAATAGAAATCTTAAAAATATTATTTACATGTACAAAAGTGCATATAGTCAAGCCTATGGTTTTCCCAGTTGCAATGTATGGCTGTGAAAGCTGGGCCATAAGGAAGGCTGAGCACCAAAGGATTGAGGCCTTTGAATTGTGGTGCTGGAGGAGACTCCTGCGAGTCCCTTGGACAGCAAGGCAATCAAACCGGTCAGTCCTAGAGGAGATCAACCCTGACTGCTCTTTAGAAGGTCAGATCCTGAAGATGAAACTCAAATACTTTGGCCACCTCATGAGAAGGAAGGATGCCCAGGAGAAGAGTCTAATGCTGGGAACAATAGATGGCAAAAGAAGAAGGGGATGGCAGAGAATGAGGTGGTTAGATGGAGTCACTGAAGCAGTTGGTGTGAGCTTGAGTGGACTCTGGGGGATGGTGAAGGACAGGAAGGCCTGGAGGAATGTTGTCCATGGGGTCGCGATGGTTCGGACACGACTTCGCAACTAACAACAATAAATTCTTCCATTTTGGTTAATTTAATTTTCCTCAAATATTTCCATAAAATCAGAAATAGCCAACTTACCTGGTTTTCTGCAAAAAACACCAAGCCTTCATCTGCAGTGGTCTGAATTGTTTGTTCATACAATAAACCCTGTTTCTCTGATGAAGCACTTTTAACAAGAGCATAACCAATGCCTTCAAAATAGATTTTGTTGGACTGTTCTTTATATCTGTAATAAGAAAATGCATAAACAAAAAACAATGACCATGCTATGGACATACCCGATATAAAGGAACTTTCTAAATGAACTATCTTCCAATTTGAGGTCATAAAAGGGAAAACTGTATTAAAAACTAGAATGATTCTTATACACAACTGTTGATTTTTTAAAATGCTCTCACAAAACACTTTTTGTTTAAAAAGAATAGAATGTCATACTGTTTTAAGGAACAGAGTGCATGTTAATTTTAAAGAGTTAAAGCTGTGTCAGAGAGATGAGTCTGCCTAATTTTTTCCTCTGTTTCTCCCCTATTTGGCTCTCTCCCTGTGGGAAAAAATCCAGCTTAGAGTGATTTCGAGCTGAGAAATAATTGGTAGGCAAAGGGTTAAACCTTCAGGTGCTTTCCTCAACTCAGAGGCTGTTCAAATTGTTCTGGGGTAAGAATGTAGAGAAAAGAATCACAGTGTGCCACTTAACATGTGGTTTAAGCATAAGTGTGAATTGAGAAGCAGGCTAAGTAAATGTGGAAAATGAGTCTGGTATGCAATGAAGAAGACCACCTGCCAAGTTTTAATTCTTTTAGCTACCTTTGATTGGGTCTTATGCCAAACAATGTTACAAAATCTTCATGCTGGGAACTGGACAAGATCTTTTCCATGAAGAACCCCACTGATGCCTCCAATGTCACCAAAGGAGTTACGATGTCTTGACAGAGACCCAAACTTTGCCACCCCAGAAGGTGCCTCATCCAAGCAGTCCATGATCAGCTTTCCTGATGCACCCTGATTGCCCATATGGTTCAAGTTTGAAGAACTCAGAAGCAGAGATGGCAACAAGTCTAAGCCAAGTCCAAGTTTATACTAAAACACTTAATACAGTGTGTTCCACCAATATGCCCAACTCAAAAGAAGAGACTGAGGACTTAAGTGTACCCTGGATCAAATGCTCCAGGAAGAGATAGATCAGCAAGGGCAGCTAAAAACATTGTGCTTGCTTCCTGGGTATTTCTGATGAAGTACCTCCTTCTATCCAGATGCTCTTCTAGAGCAATAATCCTGACTCCTCAGATAGAAAGCTTCCACATTCTTGTCAGAGACCTACTTTCTACCCAGGTTCACTGGTAAGAGGAGACATGCTGCTCATGGGTGGTGGAAATGGGATGAGGTCCTGCTTCAGCAGTTGTCATTGATGGGCGGTTGCCAAAAGCCCACACTCAGAAGGGCCCATCTACCTTGGAGAAGTTTTCACCTCACTTTGACTTTTCCACACTTCATTGTGCTACATCCTGGAAATGGATTTCACTGGTGGTGTTAGCACTTGATGTACACTAGATACTCAACACTGTGATGATGAAAATCATTTTTACTTCCATATAAAGATTAAATAAACAAAACGAAGCAGCACTTGTTGGTTGTATAAGCATTCACCCCCTTAACTGTGGCCTGCCTAAGTAAACTCTGTTGCAACCCACTGCCCCAAGAATTCACATACTACATTCACATACTACACAATACAATACATTCACATACTACACAATAAACAGTTGAATGACACAGGATCTCAGATTAAATACAGTTGTTTTTCGAAGGCCTCAGGATTGATTGGAGAGTATATATAAACGAACAACATGATAAAGACAAAAGATAAAGTTGTGCAGAAGTACCAAACAGGGTTGAGTTGTAAGACAATATCCCAAACTATGAATATCCCCTTTAGCACTGTTAAATGCATTATTATAACATAGACAGAATACAGCTTAACTACAAATCTGCTTAGAGAAGGCCATCCACCAAAACTCAGTGAGTAGACAAGGGGAGCATTAATCAGAGAAGCAACAAAGAAATAAATGGTAATTGTGAAGGATCTGGTGAAATCTGCAGCAGAAATGGGAGAAAGGTTGATGGGACAACTGTCACCCAGATGCTCCACAGAGCTGGACTTCATGAAAGAATGACAAGGAACCCATTGTTAAGACAAACCCATATCAAAGCCCAATGAGAGTTTGCACAAAGGCATGTAAAAAGCACAGCAAACATGCAGGAAAAAGGTCTGGTGAGACCAAGTATGTGACTTTTGAAAGCAGTGGGTTGCACCAGAGTTTATTTGGCCATGTCCCAGCAAAGGGGTGAACACTTAGACAACAAGCCAGACAAGCTTCTACAAGCCTATCCAGAACAAATCACTTAGCAGCACTTTTGAACAGCATCTCAAATGCCAAGCTTCTGCATGTCTATGCAGAAGTAAGCTTGAGCTTGAGCAGCAGGTCTGCCCAGAAGTAATATGGACAAGTCCCTGCAGGACAAGCTCACAAGCAAGTAGGACTAAATCACCAAGCTCCTTCCTTTTCCCCATATAAGGAAAAACTCTTATCTCTCTCTGATCAGCACTGAAACACTGGATCAACCTCTTTGAGCACTGGAAAAGGCTGCCTTTCTCAGCACATGGCAGGAAGAAGCTCTTCTTTCCAATCAGCTGTTCATCAGATACTAAAACCTGAAGGAAGAGGGGACAAGGCCTAAGAAGAAACTGAAAGGCTAGGCAGGAACTCCCTGCAGGCCATACATGGTCCATGAGCTGAAGGTTTCTAAGTCCAATGTAGAGCCACAATTTTTTCTCAAGAATCACCATGGCAATAAGCTTTACCACACAATCACTTTTCACCTCCTCAGAGGTGAAGGCCTTGAAAAATTTCAGTGGACTTATCAAGATGACCAAACTTTCCTGGGGTGAGCACTCTTGTTATGCACTGGTTCATCATGAGTCCCATCCCATTAAGAGGGAAGGAAAGTCTTACTATATTAACAGACACAGATAGGTAGACGAGCAGGCACAAGCATGGTTGTCTCTATGAGCTTCCTAAGAGCTGAATAGGGTTGGACTATGGGGTTAAAAATTCAGCTCAGCTAATTGTTAAGCCTTGCTAAACTCATGTCAGCTTGTGAGTCAACTGTATTCTGGATTATTTCACCAACTCTGTTGCTTGAAGATGTCACCACTATATTACAGAAAACAGTCCACTGAGGTTTTTTTAAAAGCTGATTACCTACCCACCCTTGATTGTGATAAGCAGTGATGATAGTTTATGCATGATAAAGCTCCACATGTATATTTATTTAAAGTACCTGAAATCTGGTAAGATTTTTTTGTTTACCTTCTGCATGGTTGAACTTCAGTAGTATTGAGATTGAAAGTCCTCTTGAAATTGTACAGGCTGATAACCCTGTCATTTAAGCTGTCTAATTCAATGCATCCTTCATAATGAGAAAGCTGTAGTGTACTGGGGGGCTGTAAGAATAAAAAGAAACAAACAGAACAAATCATGTAAAATACAATTTATTCTGATTGCACAATTCTGCTATGTGGAAAACTCTTGGCACAGGATACGGGTTTTTTTTAAGAAGTCCAATGTATATCCTACTGCAACTTCAACTACAGAATATTATTGCCAAATTACATTATGTAAAACAACTAAAACATGACAGCTTTCTCAGGAGTATCACTGTCTGTCTATACAAAGAAAGTTCTCCTTATAACATGTCTGTAAGTTAGAAACACATTACGTCAAAGTCTGGTGGGTATCCTCCAACATAGAAGACCACATTTTCAGGATCCAGGTTGAGGAGAGTATAAGTATTTGCACTACTGTCCTGAAAAGTTTCCGGGCTTGATGGTGAAGATGATGTTGCACCTCTAATGTAACTGATGTTTGCATACTGATAAATTCTGAAAGCAAAAGAAGAAGGGCAGGGGGGAAATGCAGAGAAGTAAAAGATCTCAAAACGATCATTCAAGAAGATTGGGAAGGGATTTATTAGACTGTTTCTTACCTCTCAAACCTCACAAGATCCAAAGTGGCTTCCGTGATCTCACTCTCAGACACTGATGCAGGCAGTTTTATTTCAGCTTCATTGCCTCCTAGGCTATAGGCACAAATAAGGTGGCCATCTCGAACAGCCATGCCTATGTAGTCCTTGGAACTCTAAACATAGACATTTAAGTTAATTATTAATAGAGTTGCTTCCTGTTTTACATTTTTAAATATTACTTTTTTAAAAATAGCAGCTCCTGGGAAGGCAATCAAGACTATACCCATAGCACATATGGAAGAGTGTGCTACTTTTCAAAACCCTGCATTGTGGTCCCACCCCAACAACCCTCCCCAAACAGATATTTCCTTCAGGGCAGTTGTATTGCCATCAATTCTAATTTTACATTAGAAACTTAAAGCAGTTTGAGGTCAGTTTAGCTGGCACAACTGCTCCAAAGGACTGTGGGAACAGTAACCTGGAAATGTGGGAATTATAGTAACTCCTCCAGATAATACTCTGACCTGGGCCCCATACATAGCTAGATCCCAGGATTCCTTGGGCAATAGTTATGATAGCTAAGCCATTTTATACCTACAGTGTAGCCATGCCTTCATTTCAAGAAGCCAAAGTCAAAGCCAAATCAGCCAAAGTCATTTCATGCCAGTTCACATTTGCAACCCATATTTAAAGTGGCAGCTAATTAAAATGCATATGCATCTTTAAACATGGCACTGCCATTCCAGTTTCAGGAAATATTTGGCAGAGTTATTCTAAGTGGCAGCGAAAGATCTGTGGTGGAACTTTTGGCTCACAGAAGACATGACAGGACAGTCAGACATTTGTTTCTTTGAAGCATGTTTACCCCACATTTTCCTCCAAAAAGAGTTGTCCAAAGCAGCTTACAAAATATAAAAACAACAGTGAATCATTAAAAACACTAGAGAACAGATTAGGAGGTAAAAGAAAAAAGAGGAGTAGCCACTGCAGAAGGAAAGTCACTTACACTAAGGCCAGCTCATTAACCATCGAATATCCTGCCATGCACTCCCTCACCCTGCATTAATGCAAATGTTTCCATGTGGGTGAAGCTTATAGCAGCAACTTGAATCACTAGCAGCAGACACCTTCACCCTGCATTTAGCTTTGCATTTCATACAGTTGAAAGCCAACAGAGAGTAACAAGCCAAGGAACAGAGTTCTCGGCCTCCCCATCTCCTATGCTGTGGGGTGGCCTCCCTCAAGGGAACAGCATGAACAGAACCTTCCCCACAGGGCTAGCAGAGAACCATGGCAGCAGCTCCAGCTGGGGGTGCCAGCAGGTACAGCTTCACTCACACAGTGTGGCCACAATAGGTCCAACTATGACAGCTGTGTAAGCTTGCTTGAAGACTTTGCTGTACCAAACTGACTACTATTCCAAGATGTCTGAAGCCAGTTTCAATGGCTAGTAAGACAGGATAATACAAATAAGGTTCTTAGCAAAGAAATGCTTACATCTTTGTTACCCAGGTACATGACAAACATGTTGGATGTCTGTCGCCGTGGACTGTCCAACCGTGAAAGAGGCCTCTGAAGAAACAGAGACAGGGAGGTGTAGCCTTTCAGATCATCAAGGATGTCAGGTAGTCGAACCTCAACCCCAGAACTTCCATTGAACCTCATGGGAATAACAACCTATTTAGAAGAAAAAATAAGTATAATCCACTGTAGACTCACCACAGGGATCAAAACAGGAAAGCCACAATACAAGAATTAGTTCTTATTGGACATAGGAAGCAACATTGGAGACTAAGCCTGGTACTGAATTCTGTATTTTGAAAAAGCATGCCTGTTCTCTAAGCATGGGATCACATCTATGTTTCTCTGTTTGTTTGTTTGTTTGTTTGTTTTTAATAAGACTGTTAAGTTCAAACTTTCTGTGTATTGTCTGGACATGATAAAAAGGTCTCTTTGTGACAGCTGCTACTTTCAGCCTGTCCAAAAGACACTTCTCCTCTACATTTCCCATGTCAATCTAATACTGCAGACTACAAATTAGACCATCTATGCAGACAGTAACCTGCAAAGAAACCTGCAGTGTCTCATACAAAGCTCCCCATTCTACTTGATTCCTAGAGCTTTCCTTCAAAAGCCTGCTCACTGCAGTAACTACTTTTGGTTTTGCCACAGGATTAAGATCCATGCTCTGTAAGGGTTAAGCCCAGCAGCTCTGCAGAGGTTTCTCAAGAAGACTTGGGATTTGATCCTGACTCAAATGAGGGGGATCCTGAGTCAAATAATGAGGGGAAATAAATGGCTTAGGTGTCAAAGTCACAGCTGCTGCAGATGGGCAGGACTGGAACTGATAGTCAAACAGACCCTTCGGGAACTGTGGGAATGCCAAGCCAGTGCAAATGGGGCGGGAGGAGGCGGCAGCATTAGAGACTCAAGAAGGAAGGAGCAGCACAGAATATTATGGCATTCCAAGCAATTCAATGCCAAAGAGGTTTCTCAAGGAAAATATCTGCCTTGAGGCAAAAGGTTGCGAGCTGGTGTCTCCCTGGCTGTTCCCTCTCCAGCAGACTTACTTACTTACTTACTTACTTACTTATTTATTTAAAACATTTCTATGCCGCTCCATCGCAACAAAGCCTCAGGGCGGCTCACAACACATAAATACTAAAATTATACAATAAATAATACAATAAATAACACCCCCACCCCAGTGTATTCTCGGCAAAACAAACAAACAAACAAAAACCCTAGTCAATAAATAATTAACAGTTAAAATAAGTTTTAAATAAAAAGGTCTTAGCCTGGTGCCGAAAAACAAATAACAACGGCGCCAGGCGGATCTCTCTGGGGAGCACATTAGTGGAAAACCTGGGAAGCACCATCTTTTATGAGAACTCTACACGTTACAAAATGGCATAAATCAAAGTGTGAAGAAAGCATCTGCCCATCTGAAGAGATGAACTGAAATAAAACATCCCCTCCTTCCCTCTGGTTCTTAAGAAGCAGCCTTTATAGGAAGCTAAAACAGCCTGACTCTTTTGCAGCAAATGTTTGTAACATGGCCAGAGGCAGGACATTCTGTATAATAAAAGCTATTTGGTTAGAATTACATATCAGTAACTTCTCTCTGGAGGGAGAGAGGCTTCTGACAAGCTGTACACAAAAAGATTTTCTGTTCCTGCGTTTCCACTATGTAACTCATAGAAGGCATTGTGCTAGAATGAACTACAGCAAATACACAAGTAGTTCTTTCACTTAGCCCCACTTTCCTTCCTCTAAAAACAAAACAAAACACATCAGGAAAGTGCTCTTAAAGAACAGAAGCCAAACTGAAGGAAGCTATGCACAATTTGAGTGAGCAATCACAAGTGCACAATAAGCGTCTCATGTAGAAAATCTCCTGTTTTCTGCAGCAGCTTTCCTTAGATACCCAGTTTAGCTTTTCAGCATAAAAATGTGCTACAGGGAAAACTACTATTCAGACAGGCCCTGGAAATAATTATTCTTTACTTAAAGGTATCACTAATATACCTGGATATCAATAATGGAATACTCTGATAGAGTAACTTCTCTGTGTGAACTTGTGATGAGACATGGCAAAAGTAGGAAGAATCAAGTGAAAGAGTCTGTCACACACCTTGTTTGCAGCATCCCTAGCTTGCTGGATAAGCTCTCTGATGCGGTTTATATTCTCCGATATGTTGGCTATTGGCATAAGTTGTTGGTTGATGCTTGTAATCTTGTTAAACAGATCCGGAAGGATATTTGTTAAATTCTTGACTGTTGATAGAATGGTTAAAAGGGAAGAGAAATTTGGTTGAATTGCTGATCACAATTTCAAAGTATACATGAAATTTTCTGCACATTTAATTTCTGTAATACAACAATTTTACTTGAGCTGAAGCCACGACTTTACACCTGAAATAAATAATTTACTTTAATGTGTGTTAACAGAGTTTCTTATTTCTTAGCTCCATGTTGTTTTAAAAGAATGCTACCCAGATGAATTATTGTTATTCTCTTCGATTATTGTTGCTATTAATTATAAATAATCCAGTGCTTAACTTTCAGGTACTAGCACAGTTTAGGAATTAGTAACAGTTTAGTTACTATAGGAGCAGACAGAAGAAATAATAATTTACTCAAGTCAATAATTAGTTAGTCAATAATTGACTAAAGTCAAAGTAGGTTTACCTACTTTGTTTTCTAGAGCTAAGCAAGAGGTAGTTAAGGCCACAAGCCTAAATACTAAGGGGATTATTTGTGAGTACATTTGCTTAGGATTAAGCTGTATGTCTGACAACTCTCCTAGTGCAGATAATGCACAGCAGAGCTGAAACGGAGGGTAGAAGTACATCTTAGAAGGAATATGGGTTGACAGAGGAAGTAACGCCCTCTTTCAAGTCCAGGTTCCATAATGCCGACTACCGACTACCGACTACCACTAGGAAAAACAGAGACATTGACATAACACGCTTGACATGAAGGCAAAAGAAATTCAGTAAAAGAAATTCAGGGATGCACTGTACATTATGAACTTACAACTGCAATACTGTTTAGTTCTCTCTCATAATGTCAGGATGAAAACATACTAATATTTATCTCAAAACTCTGGAAAAAGTCCATGGAGTAAACAAACTGCCTACCTGTATTATTTGCATCTTTCAAAGCCCTGTTGAAGTCCACACTCTGTGTGGTTCCATAGGAACTCTTTATGTTTTCAACATCTGCTTTAATGGGGTTCAATTCATCAAGTACATTAGAAGTTATATCATTGGCATTTCTGACCATGTTCTTTGCACTTGTGATCATGGTGTCTATGTCATCTAGCAGGAAGACAAAGGTGCATACATATTTGTAACATTTTCCTTCTTTTCTTTTAAACTGGGAACAAAAGAGCAACCAGTCTACTGTATCTTAAGCAACCTGACCACATATTCTTTCTCGTTGTTTCCCCTTTGCTCTGGGTGTTGGAGACTTAACTAGGGCTACTTTTTTAAAAAAAATCAGACATAATAATAATGCAATACAAATACAGTAGCGGAACTCCACATCTCATGACATACCTCTGTTTATCCCCTGGAGCCTCCCTTGGAAAGATGCAAGCTCTCCTTGTAACACATTTTTCTTGCTCTCTGCATCCTGAAGCCTGCTCTTTATCACTTCAAGAGTTGGACTGACTTCTGTAAGATAATCAGCCTGCTGTGAATCATTCTGGTAATGAAGCCTTGTATTCATTTCTGGTGACACTTCTCTAACTCTGCTCGCCAGTCTTTCTTTCACAATCATGGCAAATGACATCTCTGTCATGGCCAAATTCAATTCTACCTCATTATATGAATTTGACTACATTTATATTTGATTTGGAATTTTGATGAGCACGGATAGTCTCAAGAAATCCAGAGAATTTGGATAAAAAGGAAATTCAAAGATAATAAAAAGATGGCTATGATAAAGCCTGTGATAAAGATGCTACATCTTGCTCTATGTTTAGACTGACAAGGCATGGTTTATTCAAGGTATATGCAACTCTTGGCCTAAATTCATGGGAATAAAGACAGAATAAAACAGAGGAGAAGAGGGGAAGCAGAAAGGAAGAAAAAGGGAGACACTTTGATTTTGACTACTCGCATTAGCTCAGGGCATTAGATTTGCCCTAAAGAAATACGGACCTTTACAGAGATAAGGTCCCCTGACTCTGATTTAAGTCTGAGCCACTTCTCCAGAGACCCCCTAGTCTCTATTTACTATTTTGGGGCTGAGGTGGAGGTAGAAGTATATTTGGCTATGTAATTCTGACCCCTCTAATTCCCAACTATGTTTGTACACATTTCTTTTTCTTACAAGGCAAGCTGTACACAGCATTTTTCCTACATTAAAAAAACCCTTGCTATTAGTTGCCACAGATCTGATAAAAATGGTTGCATGAGTTCGATTTGAGCTATGGGCCACCAACCGGTGCCTACCCTGCTTTGTAAAACTCTTATCTTATTCGTATGGAGAGTTCTAAAGTGGTAAAGCTTCCACACAGAAAATTTCCCAGCTCAAGTTTTATATACAGAGATCTGTTTCTCCAAAGTCATCCAATATACAAATATTTCAAAGGAAAACCCCTTCAGAGCTAACATTTTAAAAATCTAATACAGTAACTTTTGTTAATTGCTTATGTGCAAATTGTTATTTTCAGACTAAATATTTTCAGAACAAAATTGTGGTCATGATAAGGACAGGGGGAATGAGCTCCTAATGAGGAAAGCTCTGGAGCAGCGGTATTACAGCCTGGCAAAGCTATCTTCAACCTCACAAATTTGCTGTTCAAGATACCCTGTAATGTCTTTTGTGTCTCCTGTGCTTGATTTAGCAGATCGCCACTGGTCGTTTTCAGTTTCTTGGCCCTTCCAGCTAGATCTCGTCTTTCCATTGTCTGAAAATGAAGCATTGCCAAGTAATATGTTCATACAGTGCAGAAGGGGTATATCAAAAAGGGTTTACATTCATAATCTAGGGCAGAGGTAAGCAGTATCCAGGCCTGTAGGACTTACTTGGCTTTTTACTAGAACCCCAACAATTCACCACTTAGAGCCAGGTACAAAAGAGTGTGTTGTTTCCTACCTACACCCAGAGATTTTGTGACTGGCTCCAGCTCCAGAATTAAGGAGCAAGGTTACCTTTAGGGCTAAACTACATATTTGGGGAAACATGCAAAGTGGAATTATGTAAGATAGTTTTCTCCCATAAAACATGTGTGGGCCCAAAACAGCCCTGTCAGCAAGTCCGATCCTGACTTGCCAAGGGCCACCACAGTCTTTCTTTTTATTAACAGCCTTATTCAGAAGATGAAGGAAGACTTTTCATCACTTTTGTCAAACAAGTAGGAGTCAGAGTTTTGCAAATCTAGTAATCCTGACCTATCTTCTACCCAACACAGACCAGATTAAAAACAATAAAGGCAACTTTGGCAAGTTTTGCACTATCCTCAATGGGTGCAATTCACCAAAATCTGCATTCATATAATGAGCAGCCTTCAGATACTTCTATACAAGATCTATTATAGTACTGGAGAATTAAACCCAATTTTTCCCTGGACTGTGGAAGCATCTCCCTCAGCCTTGGAACCTGTATCTCTTGGGATCAATCATATGGTATCCAAAGCAGTAAGGAGATGTAACAATGCAAATGATATTTTTAATCACAGCTAGCTGAATAAATGTAGATAACTGTCAGATATATAAGCTTAGACTCTGGGTGTTCCAGTTTATTTGTCTGGTAGATTTGGAGCAAATTCAACTTGCTTTTTAAACATCAATAAAGGTTTTTACCTGCAAAGGGGGAGCAGTAGGAGAAACAAAAGCAAGATTATTTATTATTTAGTTATTAAAATATTTTCTAACCTATCTACCACTGTCTCGGGACAGTTTACAATAAAATCAAATCTACCACTGTCTCGGGACAGCTTACAATAGAAACAAATCCCCAGACCTAATCTTACATATCTGAGAGTATATACAAACAATTGTGATTAGTGTGTCTGGGTGTAATAGCAATACTCCAAAGCAAGTTTCAGTAGGAACTCTGTAATTGCAGTTAGAGTTAACAGGTTCCGATGAAGAATACTTGGAAAGCTCAAAGGCAGCAAGAAGAACCATGGGCAGTGGCATCTTCTAGCCCACTGCTTTAATGGTTCATCTGCCACATTTCTTTCCCACCTGCTATAGGCCCAATTTGCTTGTTATGTTAGGCAGGAGATAGGATAGCCAATGAGCAGTGAGATGTAAGGTATATTGTTTCTTGCTTGGGAGACTGGCATAAACTAAAACAGGACAACTCTCTGAGATAGGACATTGCAACTTTCTCCAAAGCAGGGATGTGGAATCTTTTTCAGTCTGAAGGCCTAATTCTATTTTGGAGAACCTCTTGGGACCACATTCCAGAGATGCTCAAGGCAAAAATGCCAGCAAATTTTATCTTATAATTGTTGTAAGTCTTTGAAGAGGCATTTCAAAATTTTAGTATGTGGAAAAGCATCACAAAAGCTAGAAAACCACCAAACGATCAATGGTTGAAGGACAAGAGGTGAGGCCTTCTGTGAACCTTGGATTTCCCATGGGGGTCAGATCTAGCCCCCAGTCCTGAGGTTCTGCACGTCTGTGCCCAAGAATGCCCTTGTGCAAGCTCAACTTTAGCATGCAAAACAATCACAATGACTAAAAATCTACCCTGTGAGCATTATCACATCATTTTAGAATATTCTTACAGACAGAGCGGAATCTGCAGCATTGTTTGCACTATTCGCTGCTGCCTCTGCGGCTTTGATGGCATTGATGATGTTTTCATATGCAGTAGCAGCTTCCACAGCACAGGTCACAAGTGCATCCTTACTGGCATTTTTCTTGATCCTGTGGGGGGGAGGGGGGACAGCGGAAAATGTAGCAATCCAGAGAATGTAGGGTTAAGAGATTTTTGTTTGTCTTTGCTTATAAATATCTATCAAGACTGAGCATTCCACCAAAGTGTTTCTTTTTTAACATTGTGAAATCATGTTATGAGGCACTCCTTATGTGGCCATGGATCAAAGCGACCCATCCCCAAGAAGACTTTGCATGAAAGCAGCAAGGGGTAAATTCTTAAAACAGGATTTTAAAAATGAAACATATGGACATTTTTGCAAAATAAGGAATGACCAAAGTTAAGCCCTTATAAATTCATGGATTCCATTTGGAGAAGCTTAAGGACTTGCTTTGCTTACCTACTGAAATCAGTGAGCCATAAGTGAGTCTAACTTTGGTGAGATCGCACCTACATGCATAAGCTGTCCCAGTAACACTCCAGAATTTAAGCCCCTATCGCTTCATAGAAAGCTGGCTGTTCTTTCCAGGAGAAAGCCTAGTGCTCGCCACTGTACAGTTCTCTGCTGCTGAAAAAATTGTATCCATTTCCAAATCGCATTAGAAATGAGCTGTGGCAGCTTTCTAAGGGGGAGAGAAATTTGATTCACGTGAAGGAGAGAATGGTCATATTCCTGGCACTGGCTGAGGCATATTTCAGGAGCCTCTTGGGGGAAAACAACTCTAATGGCCTCTAGGGCACTTGCGAAGTGTTCCAGGGGTGAACAGCAGTGGGCAGCCCGGCAGTGTGGAGAGAAGCACCAGGTGTGGTTGCAGCGGCCGCCATCTGTGTTTCTCCCAAATGGTTCTAGGCCTCAGTGCAGGCATGCGGGGGGAGGGGGGGGGGCTAAGATGGCAGCAACTGCCTCACTTGTCACTTCCCTTTAGAGCAATGGTTTTCAACCTTTCCACAGCCGGGGACCTGTGAAAACAGGAAAACCACCTTGGGGACCACTGAGGCAGAAACCGAAAGCATCATACACATAATACATGTGTATTAGTTTCCAAACACAATACCAACATGATGCCAACCAAGGAAGAGGTGGTACAGCACTGCCCCCCTCACCCTTGGACTGGCAGGAAATCTCCCATGGACCAGCACTGGTTTGTGGACCAGTGGCTGAAAACCACTGTTTTACAGGACCAGGCAGTATGCTCAAACAGGGGAAAGAGTCCCTTGAACAATCAGAAAGGGAGGCAAAGGTTAGCTGCTGGGGCCTCAGCATTTGCCACATGCTGCCTGCCTTCCTGGGTTTGCAGGAGGAGCACACCAAGGTTCAAAAACCAGTTTAGCAGGAGTGGGCAACCTGTGCCCCCCACCATGTTTTGGTCTATAACTCCCATCAGCTCTAGCCAGCACAGCCAATGGTAAGGAACCATAGATGTACACCAAAACATGTGGAGGAGTCTTTCCCCTACTTCATCCTTAAATTGTCTCTTTTAAGACAGGCTAATCCTTTCTTTTACCTTTGCAGTGCACCATTTACACAGAAGAAATAGCATGCAACTCTAGCAAGGTACACAGTACTCTCAAATTATTCATCTGCAAAAATAAAAACATACTCTTCCAAATTTCTTGCCAGATCTTGTAACTTTCTGGCATGTTCTTCTGCTCTCACCACCAGAAGTTCCTTACTGGCTGATAAAGATTGACTCTTCACTTTTTCACTGAGATCCTTCCTTGCTCCATCCAACTGGGCAATTAATTTTTCATATTCCTGAAGTTTGAATGGAAATGCTATGTTATTTGTTGCAACCCAGAAGTTTTATAAAGCTGCATGAAATAAATGGCATTCTATTGTGCTTTAGTTTTCTGTGAAAATTGATAGCACAGAGGATTAGGCAGAAAAGAAAACATATTTTTCATACCACTTATATCTGCAAGCAGCTATTACTGCCTACAAAATCAAATCATTATTTGCAGTTTTATTTCCATTACAGTAACACAGATGCTCTCTCTTCACAGAATTATAGTATTACTTCAATACCTCTTTACTGTACTGCAGCAAGCCAAATACGCTGTTTGCCTGAGACAATGAATCTTCAGCGGAATTCAGAAGATCCAAGATGTTATTCTGTTGTTTAGTCATCTCTTCAGTCCGTTTCTGACAGAAAAATGAGGGACTTACTGATATATTTATTTTTTAACAGGACAAAATAGAACTCTCATGATAAATATTCTCTTCTACCCAACCATTGGCATGAGTTTGTCTCCTCTGCAATTCCAATTGGGGACTAGTGCAACATGTTTAATGATGAGATTGCATTTACACTGTGCCAGCTAATGCTAAATCAAACTTGGCATTAGAAGTCAAGATGCCAATCAAAGGCAGAAGGATATTTGGGAAAGAGGAGAAGAGCATTCTTCACTGGGCTGTTGGCACAGAAGTCTCCTCCTGCAAACCCATTCCCGAAATAACAAGGAGACAGAAAACTGCATCTTGTAAAACTATGGCTGCCACTACAGAGCTCAGTTATTAGTGTTCCATAGCCTGCTTCCCGCAAACCAAAGAGGGCTAGTCTGGGATCACAGGCAAGACCTTTGCCCTGGCATTATTCTTCAAGACCACACCAGCAAGACAAGATGTCATCCTAGAACTGAAGACTGACCTTTCTCAGAACCACTGGAGAATTATTTATTGACAGAGGTAACTACTTGCTTTCATTTTAGGTGTTCAGAATAAAAATGAAGCAGAAAACTATGGAACAATTTTTTACCAGTCCGTGTAAGACTGTGTCATTCCAGGTACTATCAGGACAAAGGAAATAACAGGTCTGGGCAAGCCAAATGATTAATTTAATGTTTATCAGTTTTTTTCCAGAGAAAGTACTATCTCAAGTCAAGTTTTTAAGAAATAAAATAGCAAGAGAAAACAGCATTGTCTAATTCCACTGGCCTTTCACAAAATTCTTTGGATATAGGGAACAGATAAGAGAAAAGAAGGGCGGCCACTACATTAGCATTAGCATTTGCCATTTATTTCTAAAAGACCTGGCATTTCACTTATTCTTTATTTAGTATGCCCACAGCAAATGAAAAATATTATAATCAGTTTTACCTTGATATCTTCCAAGAGGATTTCATTCTCTCCATTTAAACTTTCAGCCAGCTTGGTTTGTTCTTTTGCTTCTCTCAAAGATTCACGAAGATCACGGAGTTTAGATTCGTAGTCATTTAATGAATCTCTTACTGTTTTAATAATTCTTTGGTTTTTTGCTTGGTGCCTTTGTACCTCATTCCTTACACGCTCTAGCACTAGAAAGTTAAAGTGAGCAAAGCAAACTAAGAATAAATCTGAACTTCCTTGAACAGAAGCCCCATAGGGCTTGCTGGAGGAGGATGAGTATCCCACACAATTTAAGCCCTTTATGGACAACAGTTCTATTCTAGCTCAATCTTTCATCAACAAGTCAACGTTAATTGGATATAGTATCTGTGGTTGAAATTAGTATGCAGAGAAAACTGGACTTCCATTGTTAGTCTTTGATTTGGATTGCCTGCTTAAGTATGTCAAAATTCTGTACGCACTTAGAAATACAAGGAGTGGTCTCTTGCTGCTTGAAACAGGCAGTGCTGAGCCCACTCCTGAAGAAAGCCTCCCTGGATGCAAAGAACTCAATAATTTTAGGCCAGTGGGCAAGGTTCTTTGAGTGAGTAGTGAGTGACCAACCAGCTCCAGGCACTGCGAGACCTGATTATCTGGATTCATTTCAGTCAGGGTTCAGGCCTGTTTTGACATGGAAACAGCTTTGGTGAACCTGTGTCAGGAAAGAGACAGGAGGAGTGCAATCCTATTGGTACTCCTCCATCTCTCAGCAGCTTTGATACCACCAACCATGAAATCCATCTGAGGTCTGAGCTGGAAGTGAGGGGCACTACATGGCAGTGGTTTCACCCCTACCTGGATGACCAGATCCAGAAGATGGAGCTTGTGGGATACTGCTCTGCCCCTTGGATCCCTCAGTCTGGGGTTCCTCAGGGGTCACACTTGTCCCCCATGTATTTAATATCACATGAACCTCTGTGTGAGGTCATCTGGAGTTCTGGAGTGGGTTATCATCAGTATGACATACAGCTCTTTCTTTCCATCTTCAGCAGGTGAGGCTGTGGAATTGCTATAGTGGTTCTTGGCTGTGACAAAGGACTAGATGAAGCCTAATTTTATTTTTCCTGTCCATGTCCAAACAAGATTGAGGTAATGTTGGTGGGCAGTTCCTCTGGCTAGATGAACTGAGTTCGACCTGTTCTAGATGGGGTTGCAAGGTTTGTACCTGGGGCACTCCTTGAGCCACCTTTGTTGCTTGAGGCCAGGTGGCTTCATTGGTTCAGAGTGCCTTTTATCAGCTTTGGCTGGTAACAACTAGCAACAACAACAGCAGATAGCAAATGTGTTCTTGATTTTTAGATTTCTAAACATTGTATCAGTTTTTGCACAGTAAAAGCTCAACATATGAGTCTTAAGTTGGTTTCAGATTGCAGAGAACTATAACATTTTTGGAGCCACAGGAAAGTCTAAGGCAGAAGAGAATGGCTGCATGACTACTCCTGTTCCTAAGGCAGCACTACATCCTGTAAGCAGGCTGTTTGGTACCCAGTTTGAAGCTAGTCTGGGATACCAAGAGGAGTAGTTATTTGTGGAAGTGATCTACTAACATACTTGTTTAAAGTCTAATTCTATGGCACCCAGGTCTGAATCAAAATGTAAGTAGTAGAGTCAAACTTCAACCAGTGGACAGATATCCTGACAAATACCCTGTTGTGCTATATTCCATCAGCTAAAGGACTGGAGAATAAAGAAAAGTCTTGGACTGACTCATTATCTAGTAATTAAATAATTCAGGTATGAGTTTGCTACAGCTAAAATGTACTATTAGACCTTCATTGAATACCCACAATGTACTGCTGTTATTTCTTATATCACACCTCCATCAGAAAGCATTATTCACCTTTCCCATAATTTCTTCAGTAAACTCAGCAGCAGCAGCTAATGATAAGCAAGCACACAACAGAGGAGGTGGTGGTGGAAAGGATGAAATTCCACCTCATTGCTTGCTAACTCTGAAGGGTTCTCAAGTTTGACTTTTTGAAATGGAAAAAAATTGAACAGCAGGCAAATTGCCAGAGTTACAGGAAGCACACCAGGACAGCAATCTCACATTCAGGCAGTGGATTTGCCTACATTGCTCCCTGGGCAACTGAAATATACAGCCCACATGCCTTCTTCATGTCTTGGTTTTTCATATCTACCATTTTTATTTCTGTTCTGCATACCTCAACCCACTCTTTTCTGCTTCTGATTAACTAGATAAATAGATACATAACCAGTCTCCACTGCTCCCTTGCCTATCTCCACCTCCCACATCATACTGTCTACACCCCACAAGGAATTTCCAAATGAGGCAGCAGTTCTCCCCACCAGCCGCCTCCTAGCACTTCCACTCTGGAAACTCTGCAGCTCTTACAGCGCTGGGCTTCTTCTTTCTCCCTTTCTGCTTCTATGAGTTGTTGGCCAAAATTGCGTTTTCGCATCTCATCAATCATGTGTTGAGCTCGAGCCAACTCTTTGGCAGCATTTTCCAAAGGCAAAGAGGTTCCTCCTGCAGAAGTGCCAGCTATCTGTTCCAAGAGAACTATGACAGGGAAAAAAAATCAAAATCAAAGGTCTTTTACAGATTCATTGTCACACAGTTGTGTTGTATTCTTTTAAACCAAGAAGGGAACATTTTGGGAAGTCCTGACACCCTTCCTCAGAACCAAGACTTCCCTTATCCACAACAGGCCACCCAGTTTATTAATGGCAACTGGTAGGCACGTTATAACACTTTGTAATCTGCTCTGGCTTCTAGGCCATTTCCAGGCCGATTACCTTTAAAACCCTTCTGGCTTGGGACCAGGTCACTTGAAGCCTCACCTCTCTCTAGATATACCTGTCTGTTGTTAAGCTATTCATCAGCAGCGCTCCCCCAGCTACTGCTGTCAAATGATGTGAAGTGGCTGTTTATCAAGGAGAAAATCTTTTCAGAGGTGGTGTGTTGGTTACAGATTGCCTTTCTCGTAAAGACTTGCCTCCTTTGCAATCTTTTCAGCACCCAGGTGAAGACCATGTAGTTTTCCCACACTTTTAGCTTTTAAAGCATTTTAGGTCTTTCGACTAATTACTTTCCCCTGGGCTGGTACTGGTTTTATGCTAGCTTCTGCTAATTTTACATTAATTACAATAATACCCTTTGAATGTACATTAAGTCATTCTGACTTTGCTTGCATTTTATTAATTAATAAATTTGTAAACTACCCATGGACCTGTCAATGGGTCATATATAAATAAAGCAGAATTTCTAAGCATTACACAACTGGAAAGTGGGATGGAAACATTGCCTCAAAGATGCCATTTTAAGTAACATTCCTGTGGCAAATACAATATTTGCAATAGCTCTCAGGGCACAATCCAAATGTGGAGGCTTCTGCACATAGCTCATGGCGAACCATACCTAAGGCCACTGTTCATCCATGATGATTCCATAATCAGAGAAGTAAGCAGTACAAAAAAGGTCACTATTACATGACCTGAAATTATCCTCATAAAGCAGGACTGGATCAAGCAGAAAGAAGTAGAAGAACAGAAATGACTCTTACCCTTAATATTGGTGACAAGAATTTCTACTTTTGAAACCAGGTCTTTTCCCTTTTGGTTAGTCTTACTAAAGTTAATGAACAGTGTCTCTGCTTTCCTGTAATTATTTTCAGCCTAAGAAGAAAGATGGGTTAAAAATGAGATACAGCTAATCAACATTTAGTTAAAATGTTATTATTGAATGTTTCTTGACTGAAGCTAACATAATGTGCTATTAGTTATATGTGACCTCAGAAACCTGGTGAATGTGACATTTACTGGTCATTCTTAAGTTCCCAGAAGCAAAATGTCAGAAATGTTTGTGTCCTGTAAATATCATTAAACTTTTATACTTGTGATGTGATAATGTCATTTAGGATAGATATTAAGGTAACATTGAGAAATCTACCAAAGACATGGGAAATAATGGGAACTGTGAGCCTTTTTTTCTGACTAATTATGCTAGAATTATGCCTAGTTGCTTTTGTAATTTACTAACCTTTTCCAGTGCTTTTTTTGTAAAAAAAAAAAAAAAAATGGTGCCGGAACTCACATCTTGGGGTCACACTTTTACACTAAAAAAGATTTTTAGTGTAAAGCCTGTCACTCTACACACACATAAAGCCAGTCATTCTACACATACATAAACATAATAGTCGCCAGCCTGCAGTAAGCACTCCCTCACTATCAGCATGGACACAAAAGTAGCCTGCAGGCACTATGTTAATGATGTTTGCTGCTGATCTGCTACAGCCGGACAGGCGTTTCAAAATCACTTCGTAAAATCCATTGGAAAAACGGTGCCGGAACGCGTTCCAGTGCGTTCTATGACAAAAAATGACCCGTAAATTTCAGCATTTATCAAACAATTCTTACACTTGCAGCAGTAAATAAAAGGTATAACCCCCTACCCTACCTTTTCTTTTAGAATATTAATGTTATGATTAAGGTCAATGAAATCCGTCTCCAGTTTATCCACTTTTTGTCCTTGAGTGCCAATATTGGAATTATAGCGGTTCAACAAAATCTGGAAAGAAGGTCAAAACATAAAAAAGATGTGTGACAAGAGTCTAAAACCAAGCATATTTTCAGTATGGAATTGATCAAGAATAATATTTTACCCTATGCTGTCTATATAAGAAGATATTCAATTGAAAGACCTAGGCTGCAGTTCTATGCATATGGAATAATCACTGTTAAATCCAGTTAGACAAACTTCTGGGTAAACACATATGGGGCATATTGTTAACTTCCTGCAAAATGCATTTAGGGTTCAAGTACTAATCAGAACATATTCAAATATTTAATACATCCAACCCCTGTAAAGCATATGGCACCTACATAGCCCACGCTGGAGGCAGTTCGCATGGCAGAATAAAAGACCCAGAGTTTGGCAGCTGAGCAAGAGAGAACAGAACATGGAAAACTAGTTTGTTTACTTATTTTATTCTTAATAATTATACGCAAGCTTATCTGTTAAAAAGCTACTGAGATGCTATATAATCATTCCAAATACTAATACCTTAAAACAAGTTTAAGTGCAGAATCCTATGGCCTCCTGACATTGACTGGGGGAGCGGGGGCACAGGCTAAGTTGGAGTCCCAGCTGTGACTTTGGAAAACACTCTGAGGTTTGAACAGGTCCCTTGATCTTAGGGAGCCCTCCCTTCTCCTTTGCAGCCATGGCAGCCCTCTCTACATTGGCTGCACCTGACCATCCATGAAACTGGTATGGGTGGAAGACATTCCTGAGGTTGGGGAGGGAAGGGGTGAGGCAGCTCTGTCCTCCAAAGAATACTGGTGGTGCCTCAGCTTATTCTCACAAGGAGGAGGAAGGCGAATAGATGTGGTGGCAATCTTAGCCTCTTGCCTTCCACTAAGGGCCAGTAATCCTCCAAGTTCAGAGAGATTTGGACCACCATATTGAATGGCACCTTAAAAACATCACAACTATACATTTGAACATTCCACAGTTTGTAAGGCAACACAGAAGAAAGCCATTTTACAAGTGTACAAGAGGCTGTTACAGGTAAAGGTGCCCTTGGCACTGCACCTCCTGCAGATCTTAATGCACAGAAAGCATCAGAAGAGCATACAAACCCCCACCAAATATGTCCTGTTTAGGATACAACTTCCTAAATATAAAGGCATGTGCCACATTGATGAACTGGAATTATGGGAGGCTGTGGTGCAGAGCGAAGCCCTATATGTATCTTTCAGTGGGGAAATGTAAGTAGGTCCCACACTGCACAGTCTATTACTGTGCAGACCTATCTCAGAAATTAATTCTGTCAAAGCCAGGCCTAGCAGCTGAGGTTAGGCAGCCCAACACCCTTACTGATAGGCACTGCAACGTATCTACAATACATGTAGTAACAACAATGGTTCTGTGTAGGATTATGGACGAGAGCAGATGCCATGGGAACCTCAGGAAGGGTAGGGTCATATTTGGGTCCTGTGCCATGTGGGTTTTTTAAATATAAATTTAACTTCCAGTGCTTTGACTTGTGCATGGAAATAGATCCAATTCTAAAGGAGCAACCAGATGAATTTTGCCTGCCCCAGATAGTAAACTAGCAGCTCTGGCTTTAGCCAACTGAGGTTTCTAGGAAGACTTCAGTAGTAGCCCCACAAATAACACATTGCAATAGTTTAATCTGGAGTAGCTACAAGGGACTTCCCTCTGACCTAAATCCAGGAACAAACCATGCAAGCCACTGTTGCCACATGGCCGAGTCATTCTGACACACACTTCTGTCCCCACCCACATGGGATCTTCTCACATGGTTTTCATATACCTGCAACTGCTTGTGAAGGGCTCCTTGCGGTGCAGTAAACCTGAAAATGAACCTGCTAAAGCTAAAACAGTTAACCTGCTTCTTCCCTCACCCCTACCGCAAAATGGCAGATTTCAGGTTACCTTCAGTTGTCTGACACGGTCTTCCAGATGCTTCATTTGTCCCAGAGTGTGGGCACTGCCACTGATATCCTGCATCTGAAACTTAATCACATGGAGCTCTGCCTCCATTGTACTCAAATCCTTCAGCAAAGTAATTACACAGCTATTACAAGCTGAATGGAAAGGAAATGTTTTTAGTAAGTGCAGAGAACAGCCCCACTGAAAAGGTAATGTGACACCAAAACACTGCCCTTCTAGGAACTGCCATCCACCACAAAGGCCGCAGAAACTCAAGCCTTATGTTTTGGAGACTCTTCATTATATGCCTCTAACTGTCTATTCTTTTTCCAGAGTAGCTTCCCCACCCCTCTTTCCTTTTGATGTTTAGCTAACTGGGGTTTGAAAAGCTTCATCATGTCAGCAAATATCACTGATCTTTTTAATCTCCTATATAAAAACAATTATGACCCTATAAACCAAACAGCCAGGCTACCCAAATACTGTTACTCACAATCGCAGTCTTCATGGGGATCAATGTCTTTTGGCTCTTGGCTTATGCATTCTGGAAATTAAAAGGCAGTGGTGAAGGAGAGGTAAATTCTTGGCATTACACTATGCAACACAGGTAATAATCAGAAAATGAATATTGTGATGTAATGGACGCCCCGTACACTCACTGAAAGCTGAAAATATCTCTTAGTACTTTAGTAAATAAGGCAAAAATTAGGCTTCAAGCTTTCCAACAGCGATATAGCAGCTTTGGATCAGAGAGCACATTTCTACTTTTCAGGATCACTGGGCTGGACCCAACACTGTCATTCCACTAGCAGAATTAGTTCTGTCAGGTCTACAAGAGGAAAATTGCACCCCCAGCTCCTGTTGCACCCTTAATGCCTGCCCTAGGGATGCTGAGAAACCTCTGGAGCAGATTTTAGTGTGGTGTGGAAGAGAGATGGAGAAATTCCCTGTGACTGCTTACGTATTTATTCAGAGGAGGAAAAATGCTTGTGAATGTACCATTTAACATGATTTGGACTATGAACATGTAAATAATTCAGCAGTTAAAAGAGAATGGAATGCTGATAAGCCTACTATACCAATAAACAGCTCCCAAATTTCGCAGTGAAAAAGACCAGAATTTTAATTTGTGACAATTACACAGCATGGAACAGGCTGGATTTATAAAATTGAAATATTAAACCTATTCCATACCTGAATGAAAAGGAACTGAAATATACAATGACAAAAGATGCCTGAAATATTAGAACAACAGTGAAGGATGTGGTTTATTCTCCCCACATCTTGGGCCCCGTCCAACATTATCTTCAATAGTGCTTGGAGTTACTGTAATCTGTCTCCCTTCGACATTGCTTTATAGTGCTGTAAATCTGAGATGACACCAGAGGAGTCCATACCTTGGCTCTTTTTCATGCCTATCATACTCTAGCTCCACCGAGGGATGATACTGAAATTTGAAGGAGCAATACCCACAGACCAGGCTCCCTCCAAGTGACCTAGAAGAGGTGATGGAGGCAGCAACGGACAGGCCCAGCTTTACTACTTGTGGCATACTTGTGATTTTAAAAAATATTTTAGAGCTTCATTGGCCAGACAAGGCATGTATATACTTAGAGTGCCTTGATCTAAATGAGTTAGAATTGTGAAACTTCACATGAGCATTCCCTCCCTCCCTCCCTCCCCCTCTCTCTCTCTCTCTCTCATTCTTGGTATCAGAGTTGGAAAACAAATTTTGCTTTCAAATATTCCCACTGCCACTGTGACCATTAAGTCTGGGGTCTGAAGTGACCTAGTTATTTCAGTGCTATGAAAAAAAATTAATATACACTAAGCCTAAGTTACATGGAACACAAGGATCTTTATGGAGCATCCATGCAGCTGCCACTACAACCAGCTGGTTTCAAGCACTCAGAGGATCAATTTTCCATCTGCTGCTGAGTTGAAAGTAGCAATTCTAGTCAAGTAAATATGAAGCTGGAAGGCCAAATGGTACAATTACTATTAATAATAAATATTATTATTTTGCTGAGGACATATGAAGTCCATCTCTTTTAACCACTGACCATCACATGTTCTAATATACCTCAAATATATTTCATTATATGTTAAAAGTCAGTACCAAACAATTATAAATTATAAAATTATATATAAATTATATATAAATTATAACCAAATAAATATGACTTTAATTATAGCCGATGTAGTATTAACAGCAGGCAAAAATGGTACAAGATTACAACAGCCATAGTGTAAGACATCAATGACATCAGAGTCTGCTAAAATAACCACACAGCTGATATGACTGCTGATGCTGAAAGAACAGGCTAAACCTTGGAATTATAATGAATTCTGAGTCAAGATATAACTTGTTCTAGTAACCTTTAATTTCATCTAAGAGAAAAACATGCTAAAATACTTTCGTCAGAGTCAGCAATAACACAATTCTAGTAAGAAGCTTCTGAATAATGGAAACCAGGGGAGAATATAACACTATTTTTGAGAAAGAATGAATCATGGCCAGTTCATATTAATTGGTTCCTTTTGCTGTATGTTAAAAGCAGCCACGACTAGCATTGGAAGCCTTCATGAGTGTTCTGTGTGATCAGCTATCATAACTTCAGCTTGGAATGCCTTCCTGGCAGTGCAGAATTCCCAGGCTCTCGGCTGACTTTTCCTATCCATGCTGCCCACCAGTCCTTCTTGAAGAGAAAGGGATTCCTGCTTGGGTTGGGATTTACCTTAGCATGAAAGACACTGTTCAGGCATAACAGCAGTGTCCAGGAACAAACTGTGGCTGAGGGAATGCAACAAATGTCATGTTCAAGAGGCATATGGAGTTGGTCAAAGCCTAGCTTACCATTTAAAGAAAATCAGTATGAATTCAAGAGGTCCCCATATTACCCCTCTTTCCTTTCTTGGCCAGAAGTCTGATGGCAGCCTTCCCAACCTGATCCCTTTCAGCTGTATTGAGCTACAGTTCAAAGCCATGGCTGGATGAGGGATGCTGGAAATGGTAGTCTAACATACCTGGAGGACTCCAGGTTGGGGAAGACTGCCTTACGAGTATGCTCCCTGTCCATTTGTTTAATTTATACTGGCAGAGTTCCAGAGCCCATGTAACAATTGTAAACATCTCAGCACACAATACCCTAATTCTAACTTGGCAGTTTCTTCTAGCATCACTTAATTAAGGGGAATCATAATTTCCTCACAAGAGGAACAAGACAGGATATGAATGCAATGTAATAATAATTTTCATTTGCACAGAAGACTTCTTAGAAGACACCACTCAAATAGTTGTCTTTCTCATAAGGTTTCCTCCTTTGTACTGTGTTGTTCAGTGAAATACAATACATTACCAAGGAATATCTGTGCAACTTTACACACCTCCAGTCAGGCGATCACAATTCATGAGCTGACCATTTTCAAGGCAATTACATTTCTGACAGTATCCTCCTCTTTTCAGTGGATTTCCAAAATAGCCAGGAGCACAGCTACAAAAAGAAAGAAAAAAACTAAATAAATGGAACAGATGTTTGCAACTGATAATTAATGCATATTAAGTTGCATTGAATATTAATGCATATTAAGTTGCATTTCTGCCGGCTTAAAGGTTTGCATAAAATCTGGCCTAAAATCTGAAACCTAGTGATTTTATTTTATTTATTGCTACTGTTGTTGTTGTTGTTGTAATGTGCCACCAAGTCATCTCCAATTAATGGAAATCCTATAAATGGATGTCTTTCAAAGTGCTTGTCTTTCACAACTTTTCTAAGCTGTTGTAAACTCAAGGCTTTGGCTTCCTTTATGGAGTTGACCCATCTCATATTTGGTCTTCCTCTACTACTACCTTAAACCTTCCCTAGCCTTATTGTCATCTCCAGTGAGTCTTGCCTTCTCATGATGTACCCAAAGTGATGTGCCAAAAGTATCAGTTTTGTCATTTTTGTTTCCATGAAGTTTCAGCTTGATTTGATCTAGGACCCACTTGTCTGTCTTTCTGTCAAGTCCAAAACTCTCCTCCAGCACCACAGATATCAATTTTCTTCCTGTGAGATTCCTTTACCGTCCAACCTTCACACCCATACATAGTGATCAGGAATACTTGGCCTTGGTTGCCAATGAAACATTCTTACACTTGATGATCTTTCTAGTTCCTTCATTGTTGCCCTTCCAAGTCTCAGTCTTCCTGCAATTTCTAGGCTGCAGTCTCTGTTTGAATTGATGACAGAGCCAAGGTATGTGAATCCTTTCACAATTTCAATTTACGTTACAATTGCCAATTCAGATCAGAATAAAATGTCAGAACACATCCCATGAAGTATTTTGCTAAATTCAGATGCATCATGAAAGTGAATCAGTCATAAGAGTCGTCTCTAAAAACTGGACTGAATCCTGTTTATTTCAGGGCCCTTTAAGCTCAAGAACAGGTCCATCAAGCCAGTGTTTTATGTGCTGTGTAATTAGTATGTTCCTATGAAATTAAACACCTTGCTATTATATGAATGAAGAAAGCTCTTTATTTTAAGGTTATGTAAGTCCAATTGGGAGTGGCAGGCTGGCAGGGTGATGCTTCAACAATTCTGCAATTAAGATAACAACACTGCAGTGTGACTGTCCCCAACCTCTTTATTGCAAAGGTTTAGCTATGAGTTCCTGGCTTTCAAACTCCTATGTTCCCCATTCCACTGAATCAAGATGGCACCCCTTTTGCTCTCTGGCCTTTGCTGACTGCTGTCTTACTAGCTGGTTGTATGATCATTCCACCCCATAGACTCCAATTCATGGTACATTGGAAGCTACTAAGCAACCTTAAATCTGAAGATAGTTTCTTTCATCTGATTGTATATTAATTGGTGTCCCTAGCTGCATATGCCTGCACATTGTGCTACCACAGAAGGGGAATCTAGAGAAAGATAAACATACTTCAGTTCTTTTGACATTAGTAGGGTTTAAGCATATTCAGCTTTCTTTGGACTACATCCATGTTTCACAGGTCAGACTCAAAGGCTCAATATGCGTGCAAAGATTTCAATGCACTACAGGAACTCAACACAGTTTACATCTAAGTCAAGGAGTGTGCAGTGTACAACTCCCATGTATATGCACAGCATTCTGACACTTCAAATTAAATGCAGCAGTTCATGCCTGCAGAAAGCTCTCTGTGTACTTTCAAGCCCTGCAGCACTTTGGACTACAGCTCAAGCATGGGACTGGCATACACTTGGAATACACAATATTTTGCAATGTGGTATTTGTTTTCAATCAAAATAAATTGCTTGAACTTTCTACAAAGAAAACTAATGCATACCTTTCACAGTGCACTCCAGTATAACCTTCTTTGCAGAAACACTGTATGACTCCACCGTTTTCCATGCAGCCAAAAGCAAAACTACCAGGAAACATAATACACACACCAAAAACTAATGAAAATGTTTTATATTTTTAGAGGTATAGTTAAACCTTAATTACATTTGAATGTACTCTTTTATCTGTTGTAGTAATGAAAAGCCTGAATTTGTTAGTCTTTAAGGTGCCACAAGGCTCTGTTGTTTTTCTTGCAACAAACATTTATGTTAGGTTTCTAATGCACCTGTGTACATGCAAAGATGTATAAGAAATTTCCTATAGACCATACAAATGGCATCAATCTTTCCTGTTTGGGGAAGCACTGAGGCAAGCCATTCAAAATGTTATTTGGTCATTTATATTTGAAATAACAGCAGAATCTAAGGAAGATCAATGATCTGACCCCAAACATGTATTTTCAGAATTAGGTCTCACTGAGCTCTATAGGCCAGACTAGATAAGCAGCAGGAGATCTGTGATCAGCTGTGTCTCTTGCATTTCTTTCCAAAGCTCCCCACAAAGGCACATAATAAAGTGGGACTGAGGTGTTGGGGACGGGGGTTAGTACTTTATGTCACATTGCCAGTCTAAATCACCCTCCTCAAGCTGCTTTTTGTTCTGCAGTGCAGGAACTGTGGCTCAGTGGTGAGCACATGCTTTGCATGCAGAAGGCCCCAAGTTCAATCTCGGGCAACTCCAGGCAGAGTTGGAAAAACTGCTTGAAATCTTAAGAGAGCTGCTGCCAATCAGTGCTGGTCTATATGGACCAAGGGTCTAACTCAGTGTGAGGCACCTTCCTATATTTTTATCAGGAAGAACAGCTCTTCTACCCAGTGCTGTAGTTCTATATCTCTAGGGCAGCTTTTCATAAAGAGATGGAAGATCTGATCACAGAATGCCAACCTCTAATCCAGTTTGGCTCAGTGCACTTAAGATTCAGTCCTGTTAATATCCCTCTGTCATCTTTTCCAAAGAGGAACTCTGGTATTATGGAGGAAAAAGTACTGATAACTAAAGAAATTTAAGCTGAGCATGAATATACCTATGCATAAGGAAAATACATATGTATAAACACAGGTCTAAGAAAACATCCGCAGAAGTCTGCTGATACCTTCAGCAATATTGTCATGAACACATTCACCTTCAAATCTTCTAGTATACTCTCAATGACAGAAACAGCTTTAAAACTTTTAATCTCTGCTTCTGCATCTGGCAAATGATATCTGATATTCTTAGCCATTAATTATCCAATCCTAAATTCTACAAGGTTTCTCTGTTTCACAGGATCACATTTTAGCCAATCATATTCTGTAGTATGCTCTCTCCACCCAGCCATAAAGAACTGCATTCTTACCTTCTTTTCACTGTGCTGTCATGAATTGTCCCACTTACATATTTTAGCCAAATTTTAGTGCTTCAGGGCCAGTCCGGCCCATACCCAACAGTATCTTCCTGATCTCTGCAAAAGGATCAGGCACCCAATTTGGAAGCACCATGGGACGTATCCAGTGCTAATTGCAGCACATTGGAGAAGCCAGTACTTCGAAAAACAAGCTAGAACAAGCAGAAATGCTCATTTCTGGAATGGCACTGAGTGACAGAGCTCATAGAAGGAAACTCCACTGACAAATCCCAATTCAGCAATAAGTCCTGCTCATTTCCAGGGTTGCTTTTTGAAACACTGCTTCTTCTTGCCTGAATGGTGGGTGCTGCTTACATAACAGGTCAAGTAGGAGTGCAGTAGCAGGTCTGGATATTGCCCTCTCCGAACAAGTAACCAGAGGCTAAGAAGTATGCAAGGATTCATAAAAAACATGCCCAGGAAAGCCACAAAAAGTACATAACAAGGACTGTTCTTTTCAGTACTACAATGGCTGGCTACTTTCACAAGGCAAACTGATGCCAAGCACAAGAGAAACGCAGCTTCCTGCTCCTGCCCCCACATACCATACCTGTTTGCAGAAGGACACGGACACTCCCTGCATTTTCCCTGGCTGGCATCTCCAAAGTAACCTTCTTTACAACGTTCACACTTCTCCCCAGCAGTATTATGCTGACAGTTCTTTCAGGAAATTAAAACACAAAGATTGAGAAGTATATAATATATATATCGATATAAGTCAGGCAGTTAACTGTGACCTAGTTTCTTAGGTCTTTTTATCAAGGGGAAAATTATAGTTGATCTGCCTTTGAACCATTTCCTCTGGATATTTACATTACTGCAAGACTGAACAAATAAATTAGATTCTCTCCACAGTGAGTATAAGAGCAGTTTTTGCCCTGTTGGTGCCAGCCACTTTAGAATATCAAGATAGCTAAACTCCTGGTCAGTGTGTCATGAGTTTAAAGAGTTTGTCATTTCAGTATTAGGGTACACTTTGTTGGAATTTAGGCAAGCATACATTACCAACTTAGCATCCATTACAAATGTCAGCATACATAATCAACATTGTCTTTTCTATAAAATGATCTTCAACTTAAAATTCTTCCTGATTAACTTTTTATTTCACACAGATTCACATCTCTTACACCCATGCAGATCGGTTCAATAAAATATAGTTCCTAAGTACATCTTACAGCTCTTGTTGCTGTTGTTATGTGCAATCAAGCTGTCTCTGACTTATGGCAACCCTTCCGATGGTCATACCCATGACAGCCCTGTTCATAAATTCCAGGCTCTGGCTTCCTTTATGAAATGAATACATTTCATATTTGGTCTTCCTCTTCTCCGGCTTTCCCTAGCTGACTGTCTTCCCTAGGGATTTCTGCCTTCTCCTGAAGTGTCCAAGGTATGACAGCCTCAGAGGTTTGTCATTTTTGCTTCTAGGAAAAGTCCTGGCTTGATTTGATCTAGGACCCACTGGTTTGTCTTTCTGTTGGTCCAGGGGTAATTCACAAAGCTGTCCTTCAGCAACACCACAGTAGTGACACAAAGCTAAGTGACTCAGCTGGCTTCTCAGAGGGATTTGACCTGATGCTATACAAAGGCTTCTTCCATTTTAATTGCAAATGTGTCCTTTACACGGAGCTTTTTCTGAGGGACTATATCTTCTATCAACCTGTCAAAGTTGGCAGTGTAGTATAACTACAGTAAAACAGATTTCCATCTTTAAAGAGGCTTTTATTCTGGTTGGTCACAATTTAAGAATTAATATGTTGTAAGCTGTCCAGAGACGCAAGTAATTGGACAGCATACACATTTTATTTGCAAATAAACAAATAAATAAATACATTCAAATTTTCCTCACTCTAAAAAACCTGAAAAATTCAGGAGAGGCTCTGGAGAGCAACACCGCTGTGAAAAAGTACCACAAACTTCCATGAATGAGGGATCACGAGTGCACAATAAATGCCTTGCCTAGAGAAATTCTGTGCCCCTTGCTATGCATATCATGTCACTTCAACTGCTGTGACTATATCAGCCTGCCATTACAATTTTTTAAAAACCTGGAGATACATAATCCCACCTTGCAAAAACTTAATTTCTCATGTTCCAATTTTAATTTGAAGTGAGGAGTCAAAAGTACAACTTATGTAAGTATGTAAGCTTTATCAATTAGTAACAAAAAGATGACACTAAGGCAATGTAGTTTGTATGGCCATTAAGGAGCAAGGCTGGAAAAGCAAAAATTTACAAAGCTCTCATCTTTGGATGTTGTAAGCTATCCTCTTCTTCATCTTCCTGCCTCTGTGTTTTCTTGTTATGACCTGTCCTGTCTCTCCAATCAAAATGCCTTATGATTCATACCTGCGGATTTGGCTTGCAACTCCTATATTTAAGCCAAAAAAGACAAGGGGTGCATTGCATAATGTCAAGGTATTTAATGCAGGCAAAATATGTTCATACTGAACAATTATGCTAAAAGAAGTGATCAGGGGGAGAGAGCAGAACAATGCTGTTAAACAGACAGTGAACTTTTACTGAGGGTTAAAAAAATGAGGGGGAAAGATCCTACGGATTTTTTTTCCAGAATAAAACTATTTGGACAAAGGCAGTGAATTAAATCCAAGATTATGCTCCTCAAAGAATGCTACCAGTGCTTTGACGGTTACTGCTTACAGGCTTTTAGAGTTATTTTTGTGAATCATTGATTTGAAGGGGAAATATGTATGATTCCAGCATGCTCTGAAGATTCTGCATCATAGCTGATAATTTCCAGTGTATGAAAAATCATCCTTTGCCAAAGAATAGTATTTACTCTTTGGATAGAATTATCTGTTATAAGAAAGACTGATCCGTTCTTGACCATGTCTGGATGATAACATCTCAGCTTAATAAACCAAGCTTGGTTTTTTAAGCCAAGATATCTTTCCATGAACGCAGCCATGAAAAGGTAACAGCAGCTTTGCCTCTCATGTAAAGGTAGTTCTGTCCAAAAACAAAATCCTGCAGAATGCATGGCAAGAAAAGGTAGCTCCACATATCAAAGTTGGCATGCTTTTATGGACTAATGTCATAATAAATTAATCTTCCAGGCACAAGATTCTTTGTCATTTTTGCAGCCACAGATTTTTAAAATTATTTTTTGCAGGTTGACATGGCTACCCATCTAGAAGAAGCCACTCTAGTTGTAAGAGATTACATGTTATGCATATAGTTAGCTGTTTGATCAGGACTGCAGAACCAGTCACTTCAGTGGAAAGGGAGCTCTACTGCATGGATCACTCCCACTAGAGCAGCACTAGATTCAACCCAGAGCACTAGGCTGCAACAAAAGCAGCATACATCCCGTCAGTGAGTAATTACATATAGTAAAGCATTTCAACAATATTTCTTATTACTACTTACGATGCAAGTTCCAAAGCCATCCAAGCACCTATCTGTATTTCCATTGCAATTGCAAGGAACACACTGTCCTGTGAATAGTCCATTGTTTTCACGATAAAATCCAGGGCTGCATTCCTGTTGGGAAGATTCTAAGTTTATACCTTTAAAATTAGTTGGTGCAGCGAGATCTTACAGTAAAACAAACTGAATTACTAACTGCTAACACATGGATACATACTGCAAGGTGAAGAGGCACAGGTCACATTTGGATGGTCATAACTTGACTTCATAAGCCAAGGTATAAACAAACATTTTAGCTGTGTATTTGTTCATTCCTCCCTTCATGCAAACCAGGAAGACTTCCACTTACCACAGAATAGTAGAATTGGAAGAGGCCAAGAAGACCAACCCCCTGCTGCTGCAGGACACCAATTTACACCATTCCACTTAATACATCTTCCCATTTCATCCAGAAAAGTAAACTATGTTTAACAGCTGCGGACCAGACTAGGATATTAAGCCTACCTGAAGCCATGACCCAGGGTTGTCTTAACGCATGGGCCTGATAGGCACTTGCCCGTGGGCCCCATACTAATCTGTGTATGTTAACCCTTGGAAAATGGGAAAACTTCCAAAATCAACAGTAATTGTAGTTGTCGCAGGGGCCCCAGTACACTGCTTTGCCCGGGGCCCATAATGCTGTTAAGACTGCCATGACCTAATATTCTGGCTAGCTCTGAAGCTAAGCACCATATTTTCCTGGTTCAGGTGAACTAGGATACTATAGTTAATGGGTGACTTTCTGGCTTGTTCTTTCACTTTCATGAAAGAAGTGTGTGAATAGCCAGATTGCCTGTTTATGTGTAAGTTTATTACGAAGGGATATGATTTTCTAACATGGCAAATATTCGCTGTTTCCAAAATCCATGAACTGCCTGAGCTTTTGAAAAAAACAGCTGTATGTATCACTGCTCTGAGGCCTGTCAAGAAGGCTTCTTTCAACCTAAACCCCAAAGGGATTCTCTGACAGGACATATTTCATATGCTATGCAGAATATTTCCAAAATATGCCCTTTATAACCATGTTATAGAAAAATGTTCCCTATATAGTTAAGGTTGTTGTCTTTGAACTCAAATGTTTCTGCAGAACTTGGTTTGTTCAATAGTGTTCATCCCAAAGCTGAAATTAATTTATAGTTTAATTTGCAAAAGTACTTGCTGTGATGTCATCACTGTATTAACTCATCCTGATTTCCTGACCTGGGGATATTCAACCCTTAGGCAATGGGAGGCATCATATAATATGAAGCACAATTTGTACGTACAGGCTTGTTCCAAAGACAAGTGAAGCATGAAAAGAATGTTCCTTGGCTAGAAGCATTCAAAGGGAAAAGCTGCTCTTCTTTCAGATCAAAGTCAAGGGAAAGCATTTGGGAAAGCCAAACAATAATAAAAAAAGCAAAAAGAAGGGGGATGAAGCAAACGAAGCAGATGTGTTTAGACAGAGATGTGTTTAGACAGTGGCCCTTCTGTATTAACAGCTAGAACCGGAAAGACTTGGCTATAAGCCCTATCTTTCCTTTCATTTTGTTATTTAGCAATGGGCAAAGTAATAGGTATCCACCCAAGTGCACATTAAAACAACAACAGAGAGCGGAGAACGCAGCAGCTGCTGCTACCTTACAGGAGTGTTGTGAGTATAAACAATGAGACAGCACTTTGTAAATTAAGAATTCTACCTTAGAGGCTGGACTTGAATATCTAGTATATCTATGTAATAATAACAACACGGGATTATCTGTAATAGACACAATTGCAAGTGTTTAAGGCAGCTTTTCCCAACTTGGTGCCCTCCGGATGTCAGGGACTTCAACTCCCATTCCCATCCAGCAAACCATGCCGATCATTGCTGAATTAAAGTTATTAATGAACCATCCCAACATTCTAATAAAGGGCATATTGAGGAGAAGTTAATAGGAATAAATCAGTATAAGGTTACTGATCCAGTTACTGTGTTTCTGGTATACCATTTTTTAAAAGTTGTTTTAAAGCAAGATTAGTTTCTCTGCTGGGACGGAGGAACGGGAACTCACCCCGTTGTGCAGATTCGAACCACACTGAAACACCATTTTCCACCTATACCCTGGAGGAAAATAAGACTCCCCAGACAGATTATACTTCTGACACACCCTTTGGAAAATGCAATCATGGGTCCCCTGTGCCACACGCTCTCTGTCTATTTACATGTAACACTCTTGCAGTTAACATTTCAAGGCAATCAAAAAAACAAACTTAAAAGAATTTTTGTTTTTCTATTTGCAACAATCCTTGCAGACTACAACACAAAAAAGAACAGCCTGGCTAACGATTTGCTGATCTCTTACACTGGTTAAACTTTGTGTATGCAGTTTTGGAATTGCCTAGCTAAAGAATCAAACAGGAATACTTGCTACTCAGAACAGCAGCAGTATTTTAGAACAGGTATTCTGATCAAGGGATCTGTTCCGTCCAACAAACAACAGGATCTGCTTTTCTGTTCTTGGGCTGCCCACAAGACCACTTAGCATAATTTTTGTCAAACTTTTGTTTAAAAAAAAAAAACATCCAAAAGAGAAGAGAGTGAGATAGAGAGTTTATATTACCTGTCTTGGTTTAAAATCCCAGGGATTTAGTCGCTGTTGCCCTCCACCTTGAAGATGAGGAAATGCTAGTCTCTGCTGTGCAGCCAGTGCCAAGCCGTGCCTCAGGCCTATGCACAGCACCAGCCAGGCTAGGCAGTGTGGCTTCTGCATTCTTGCCTGCATTTCTCTTGGCTTTGGGCTTTGCTGCTTGCAGGCAGCTTTCCACTCGGAAGCCCTTTCCCTTATACCACCTTTGTTCCTGACTCAGTCCGTATGCTGTGATATGCCCCTCCTATAAACTTTATACATGAGTCAGGCTGTGCAACAGCTCCTGAGTAACAATCTGCAATTCCTGAAAATGAGCATATATCTGAATTTAAGGTGTGGCAGGCATCACCTTTTCCCTGCCTAACACAGTCAGACAGAAGTAGACGATTAGAACTGTAAATCACAGACTGAGTAATTCTGTGGAAACAAGTAGGGTGTGTGAGCTACTTCAGCAAGTAGTTCTATAGCTTCCTTTGGGCTACTTATTTTCATCAGATCAGAACAAAAGGGCAAAGACCACACAAAAGAAGTGTCCTGTAGGTGGCAAACAGGAAGCAGAACAGGAAATGTTTGATTCTTATGTCAAATGCAAGCTTCAACATGCTGATCAAATGAATATTTCATGGGGAAGATTGTGAAGTTTGTTTAAAATAACTGTTGAAAATACTTTCAGAAATGACATTTGACAAACGGTATGTTATTACTGTAATCCAAGATGAAAATTTCAGACTTGCACATCAGTTTGCAAGGGCAAGGGCAAGGTCTATCTGGTAATCAGTAAATTATACTGATTATACAGATAGCAATCCTCTTTTAAGAGAAGTTCAGTAGATGCAACTTTTCTAACTCACATGTAACACATTGCTAAACTCACCGTTCTATGGAATTATTAAAGGTGCAGAAACCTTATGTATTTGGGCATCCCATAATTAAGAGCCTACATAGACAACCAAACTACTGAGAACATTTGGTCATCTGTATAATCTCACTGTATGGTAATTTTTAGCACTCATCTGAAGCAAAAATGAAGGAGAGATGACAGTAAGGAGAATACAATAGAGATATAAGGTGCACCAAATTTTTGGACATATGCTAGATGGCATTTTAAGCAGGTGCTTTTAAGTCTCCATTCATGTATATTATTTACTTCTGCCAGAGAAAAGGTCCAGGTGCAAAGTAAAATTTGTGGTAAAGAGGTCACCTATACCTGCCCTAAATCTTCTTAGCACAGGACCAAACAGGACTGCTACTCTGTATGTCTACAGGTCTTGCACAGGAAGAACTGACTATCTGCAAGCAACTGAAATCAACACTGTTAAAGCCCCAAATAATAATCCAGTTAAAAGTTCAATTGAACTGACAGTGAAGTTCATAAATATATCTCTACTGTACTTTTAAGTCAAATCCATGGGAAGGTCATTTCAGTACTACTCAGATAAGCAATGGCTCATGAATGATGCAGAGTGGAGACAAAGAAAATCTCCTACCTGACATGAATCACCCACATATTCTGGAGGGCAGGAGCATGTCTCTACATTATAGGCAACTTCACCATTTCCTGTATTGGTGGCTTCTTCCAGACCAACCTCACCCAAGGTTAACCGCTGAGATTCTGTGAAGTAAAGGCCTCTGATTTGTAATCCTTCTAGTCTAGACAGGACCATCATCAGCTCTTCGCGAGATACCAAGTTATTGCTGCCTGCGTGTCTGAAGTTTCCCTGCACGTTCAAGACACAATGGAAGTTTGGTTCTGGAGTAGGTTTAAACTTTGCAGGGTAGAAGTACTGTTCCATAGAAGGAGGGATGCCAGATTTAAAAGTTAAAACAGGTCCAATGCTTTATATACGAAAACCCAGGAGAATAGAGAGAGGGGATGAACATCTGCTGTCAGATTAAGGTAAAAAGGGAATTAAGGGAAATTAAGGGAAAAATTAAGGGAAACCTTTAGTTCCCATCATTCCTCATCCAACTATGCTGGCTGGAAGGCATCCAGCAAGTTATAGGAGTCTTTTTCTGTCTAAACATGCACAAGATTATGCCCCAAGTCAGAAAGGGAAGGAAAGCCAAGCTAGAAATATTAAGAGCAATGGTATAGTGATCAGCCTTCAGGCTCAACATGAAAATGTTTTCAAGCTGGGATGAAACAGAGAAAGTGCCCTAAAGCAGGGATAAGAAACCTGTAGACCTCCAGCTCTTGTTGGACTACACCTCCCACTTTCATTGATCCTTGGCCATGCTTGTTGGGGCTGTGGGAGCTGGAATTGAACAACATGTAGAGAGCCACAAGCTCCTCACCTTTGTTCTACAGGAACACCTTGGGTTCAGTTCATAGGATTGTACCCTCACAGCTTGGAAGCCCTTGAACTCAGAAGCTTCTGAAACTCCTATGCCCTGCTCAAGCTGAAGACAGCAAGGCAGACTCCCAACCCCTTCCAATCTTTTTGCTAGATTGGCTGAAAAGTGAGGGTACTTCAGAGAGGATGGCAGGAGGAGGTTCAGGATAAAATGCATCCTTTTCATTTCCTCCAATGGAGCATCTCCTTTTCCTCTGCATCTAAATATTGTGGCAGCTTTAGTACTGTTCTCTCTGTGTTGGTTGTGAGGGGTGAGCAGTTGAATTACTAACTCCCCATTCCAGTCAGAGCACTATTTTGACCTCTATGGTGTTTCTGAACCATCCCTGTGGTCCCTGGGATTTATAGGATTGCTCTCTTAGTAAGTAGAAATCTCCAGTTTGTTTTTTTTTAACATAAGAATTTCATAGCAGTAAAAATAATTTGCTTTGTGACATACATATCTCAACTGACTGGAACAAAACATATTACACTACCCACAGGGAACATGTGTAGGCATGCCAGCAAAAGCCTGAAGCCCTAGTAGTTGCATGCTCCTTGGAAGTCATGCTTCCTATTGTTATTTAGGTCACACAGCAATGCAGAAGCACATAGAATAAACCATGCTATATGCTGAAGGCAAACTCATTGTGTGAATATGGCCAAAACAGCACATTCCATGCATGATACAAGGGTATCAACCAGCCTGGTGGAACCCCAAGGGTTACATAAGAACCAAAGCAAATGTAGGAGAAGAACTCCAAGACAGGGAGATACCCTAAAGATGGAACATGCTCAGTGGCCCTGCTGTATGCCTGCAAGAATGGAGGGAACAGAATTTAGGAGACTGCGCAAGAAGAGAAAGGCAGAATGGGATAACTTGAAAGTGGACATGGCATGCTAGCCTCATTCTTGAAGAAGATATTTTGTCGCTGGTCCCACCACTTCCCTACTCTCTGGGATCGCTCTTTCTATAGAGGGGGTCACTTGAATTGCTAATGAATGGCTAATATAACAGCTCACTCACAATAAGAAATTGATGAATCCATTTTTACTTTGGCCAGTTACTGCTCTGAACACATTAGTTGGAAAATGCAAAACGTTCGTGTCTCGGGAGGCAGTGCAAACACAAGGGAAGGGGCTAAAATGCTTTTTCTTGAAATCTGAATAAAATGCTCTTTTAGCATAATGATCCAGGGGAAGAAAAATGGCTTGTTTTAAAAATCCCACTTTATCACACTAAAATGAAATACAGAATCCTATGAGAGAGAGAGAGAGAGAGAGAGAGAGAGAGAGAGAGCGCGCGCGCGCGCGCGCGCGCGCTCTTCACCAACCCAGGTCCCATTCATTCTGTACAGTAAGCACCACTAAATGACACCAGCTCACATCAGTAATAGAGCTGAAGAGGCATTTGCAGACTGTGGCTAATGAGCTTTGGAGCAGGAGCCAGTCCTTGTTGACAGATTTTGGTTTTGCCCCAATTCTTCTAATGCCTAACAGAAAAACTCATACATCAAAACATGATTTGTTTGGAATGGCCTCAAACCCACAGCAAGCATGTGCACAACTGAAGGCAAAATATAACTGGAAGTGTCTTTGCTTTTCAAGTCCAGGCATAAATCAGACAAGAACCCAACTTGACTTCTACATTTCAGGCAGTCAGAACAAGCAGCTGCTCAACTGTAAACACAGCACATTGTTCCTGGAAAAATACTGCATCACTGTGCAGAATAACTTGATGCCAACAGTGTTATTGATTAATTGATAATAGGATTTATTTCCTGTCTTTTTTCCCACTGTAGGGAATCCAAGCCCTTTTCCACTCCATTTTCTTCTCACAAGAACACTGTGTGGTAGGTTAGGCTGAGAGCTAAGTACCTAGCCTAAAAGCACACAGGAAGTCTCATCAACTGATCAGGGAGTAGAACTTGGATCTCTTGAATTCCAGTCCAACCATCTAATCACTGTACTAAATACGTTGCCTAATTCCCCTGACTGTGAGAACTCCATTTTCCTTTGGATAAATGAGGGGGCACTAGAGAAATATGATCTCTGCGATATCTGTCTACAAATACAAAGCAGGTGAAAGCAACTGGATTATGCAGCACAATCACTAATCCTGCATCAAATTCTCCAAGACCAGCCTCCAGCCATGTGCTAATAAATATATTACTCTCCCTCCTTGCTTTCAGACTGCAAAACTGCTGTTTATTTTTGCAATTCGTCAGGAGTGGTCTCAAGCAAACTTTCCAGTTTAGGTAGTGAAGTAAAGTGAAGTGAAAGAAAGAGAGAGAGAGAGAGAGAGAGAGAGAGAGAGAGAGAGGAGAACAGGAATGAAAAAAAAATCAATTTTTTCGGCTTGGGACCAGGATACCTTAAGGAACGCCTTTTCCCCTATTTGCCTTCCTGCCCCCTAAGATGGGCAACAGAAGCCCTCCTCTGGGAACCCTCTGTGAAAGAGGTTAGGAGACAGAGTACCCGGAGGAGGGCCTTCTCTGCGGTGGCACCCTGACATGGAATGTGCTCCCCAGAGAGGTCTGCCTGGTGCTGTCATTATATGTTTTTTGGTGCCAGGTTAAGACTTTTTTATTTAATCAATATTTTAATATGTTTAATATTGAATTTTATTATTGTATTTGCAGCCAGAGTGGGTTGTCAATTTATTTATGCTGTTAGCCATCCAGAGACGTTAGTAATTGGACGGCATACACATTCCATAAATAAATAAAATGGTTGATGCTCAAGCCATGGAGTCTGTACTTAGTCACAATCTCAAAGTTTTGAGAAAATGGCCAGATTTTTATTATTAACAAAGCTACAAATAATTTTAAACAGTGTACAACAAGCAAACAAAAACAGTAAAGAGAAGCCAAATTAGACATCTTTACTTAACAGATAAAGGGTCTCTAGCTACAGAGAATGAAATCTCAGCAATGCAATTTCTTGATACTGTACACATTTAGCATATACAGTATCAAAGAAACAATTATTTATAGTACATTTCTATGAATGTTTACTCATAAACAATTCCAATCCTTTTCTGTGGAGTTCTTGTAGCAGTATTTAGGACTACAGACCTAAATATATACCTCAGACCATGAGCATTTATATAAGTTGTAACAGGTAAAGGAAAATGCCACAACTCACTAATGAAAGTGAGTTCTAGTCAGTCTTACCTCAACGAGCTGAACTGATCCATAATATTGTTTGTCAGGCAAAGGATTGTTAGGATCCACATAGACTATTTTCATCTGGTGTCCCTACGTAAAAATATTACCATTCCAACATCAGTGCAGTACATACATGCAGAATTAGCATGCTTTTTAATTTATTTAAAAAGCTTTTACTTTTGTGGGTCACAAAGGAAACTTCTTAAGAACAAAAGCAACAATGTGCAAACACATACGCACACCAACATAACAATTGGACAATCTTAAATTGTCACTGTACTTTCTGCATTTCATTTCCTGCTGGCTCAATGTTTACATTCCCCGCACGATACTGGCAACTCAGCATAACATTTCAATGCATCTGATGAAGCAGAGTCTAATCCATGGAAGCTTATGCCAAAATAAATTTGTTATACTTTATAAGAAATCAGCAAAGTAGCACCTTAATGTGTGAACTGTAGAAATAATTCAGCTGTTACAAAATCCTAACAAAGAGGAATACAGTAAACCTCCCATAACAGAGTGGTGATGCTATGAAAGTTTGGCCACACTATTTAAACATACCATTTTAACAAAGTGTCAAACAGCAGCAATGCAATAAATCTGACAGATTTATTCTCAGATGGTAATCCAGATAAACACATTGCAGACTCTGCCCTCTCCCCACAAGGAGTGAATCAAGGGAACAGCTGGATAGGAACATGTGAGTGCAAGGCTGGCTTCTAATCTTGCCCCCAGATGCAATCCCAGAAGCAAAACAACACCTTAACACTGCATTAAAAGTATGTGAAAAATCTTGGTTTTCAGATTTACATGCAACATTTTACTCACAATTAGTTGTACATCAGGTCTTTTTTCCAGTAGAGTCATGCCTTCACTAGGTAACCCAAAAGATTTCACCTGATAACTCAAGTAGCCACCATACGAAGAGAGCTGAACAACACATTTAAACAGATGATGAGGGTGATTGCAGGAGCTTATGTTCAGCATTTCTCTATGTATCAAAATCACAGTGATCTCAGTGCCTTACACTACCAGAGCAGGCAACAGAGAGAGATAGCATGTAGAAGATCAGGAAAAGGCAGGGTGTTCCCAGTCCTGTGTCTTCAAAAGGATTTTCTATAGGCACAAGAGACTGTTAGCTTCTAGAAAAGGGTGATAACATCTACGACATACATCTCATATGTGCAGTGGACAGAGAATAAGAAAATGCAGGAGCAGGTGACTACATAAAACGAAGGCACATGGAAAGAGAGATGACAGCAAACAAGAAACGTTACCCCAATTAAATGGGTGAAAGAGGAGCAGAAAAATTTCAATGAAGGAGGAAGACTTTGAGATTGAGCAATTTTGCCTTGAGCAATAGACAAAATCAGGAAGAGAGGGAGAGGGAGAGCGAGAGCGAACTTCAAAGGTGATGTACCTTTTCTCCCAAGTAAGAGGATGGTGCTATCCAGTACAAATTGTGCACAAAGGAGGGCAATTCTTGAACATCAGCAACTACGCTCTTGCTGACTGGATTGAAAGTTACAGGGACGTTCATAGCATTATCCACAGCTTCTAGGCGCCAGTTCCTCATATCAACAAACTAACAGCAAAACAGACAAGAGGTTAAAAGAAAAGTGTCGTTATTGAATACAGCTTGCCTCACAGCACAAGAGTTAGTTCGCATGCGCACCTGTTTTCACATGGAAAATATTTTTTGGTTTGTGTGAGGTTTTTATATGCTTTGTCATGTGCACCAGCCTTTATATTTGCCTTTCTAGCACCTTTGAGGTGATGAGCACTCTGACAGGTCAGGTAGGGCTGAGGTGTGACACTTCTGGCATAGAGTGCAAATCAGGAACTTTATATTCATTAACTTCATTAACTTCTACAACTCTTTGTGCATGCCCCTCACTACAACAATACAGGATGGAACCTGGGAAGCTCACTAGCCTGATTTATAAGCTATGCGCTGATATACACACTTTCTCTGGTGGGGTGGCAGACTTCCCATGGGGATGCTAATCTAATCCCTGTGCTTTCTGCAACGTGTAGCTTGGGCATTGCAGTGCTGTGCAAAACATCCTGCTTCTGCACAGGTTGATCAAGCAAGAGAACCTGCCTGCACACCAAGGTCTGCCAAGGTCTAAAGAAAAGGTAGTGGATACAAGCCCACTTGTGGCATGAGACAGGTGCAACTGTTCTGGGGAATTACAGTGGCATAAAGAGTGTGGGGGACATAACACATCTGAAAAGCACTTACATGGATACATACAAAACTACCACTATCCCAGCCCCAGGAATTAAAAGAGCAAGTAATATTGGAATTTTTTAAGCCAAAGTTAGATGAGACTTCAAGCTCTAGGCCTTCCTTGATTCTATAAAAAAGTGAAAAGCAAGACCCATTTCTTTGCAGGGCAAATAAGGGTTTCAGGCTTAGAGCAATTTAGAGACTGGAAAAACAGCACAGATGTGAGTGTGGGAAGCTTATCCCCTCATCCCCCAAGAGTTCCCCTGCTACCACAGCCCTGACCCAGTGCCCCAACTTCAGCAAAGCAGGAACCCAGAAACAGAATCATGCACTATTTTGTCTAGCAGCACCCTTCAACTAAAATAATTTACAGAAAACATACCGTAACTCTTTGTTTATTTGTACTATGACAAATAGTGGTTGCTCCGAAACAAAAGCAATTGGTGCAACCCTTCGGATTAGTGGAGTCCAGATAAAATGATCCAGGGCGGCACGTGTCACACTGAATACCTTCAACATTCTCCTATAAGTCAGTTGTAATAAGTCATTAAATGTTTCCATATAAAGTTCCTGTAGTAATATACACATGAAAATAGCTGTAACACAGATATAAAATAACAGAGAACATTGTTCATGGCCTTGCTTTTCTGTATATAGAACCCCGCGTACATGCGAAACGGTCTTCTTCTGCAAGGACAAATTCGCACAAACTGCCAGTTTACACTTTTGTCTCTTCAGTGTCCCACAGACTGCTTCATCAGCCCTATGCATATGACTGTGTCAATTAGGGCCCTTCCAGACAAGCCTTAGTGTGGATGGCCATTCTATATTTTTATTGGTAGTAACCACTGGTTGATTTAAACTAAACATACATGGTATTGGGAGGTTCTTGATCCAAGTAGGAACAGAAAATAGGCCTGTTTCCAGGTTGCATCACTTTGTGCAAGTCTCTTCTACCATGTTTCTGCATCTCTTTTCTCAATCTCAAATTGTACAAAATTTGCATATGAATTGTTGTTGTTAGTCGTGAAGTCATGTCCGACCCATCGCGACCCCATGCACAACATTCCTCCAGGCCTTCCTGTCCTCCACCATCCCCCGGAGTCCACTTAAGCTCACGCTGACTGCTTCAGTGACTCCATCTAGCCACCTCATTCTCTGCCGTCCCCTTCTTCTTTTGCCATCTATTGTCCCCAGCATTAGGCTTTTCTCCAGGGCGTCCTTCCTTCTCATTAGGTGGCCAAAGTATTTGAGTTTCATCTTCAGGATCTGGCCTTCTAAAGAGCAGTCAGGGTTGATCTCCTCTAGGACTGACCGGTTTGATCGCCTTGTGGTCCAAGGGACTCGCAGGAGTCTCCTCCAGCACCACAATTCAAAGGCCTCAATCCTTTGGTGCTCAGCCTTCCTTATGGTCCAGCTTTCACAGCCATACATTGCAACTGGGAAAACCATAGCCTTGACTATACGCACTTTTGTTGGCAGGGTGATCTGTGCTGTCTAGATTTGTCATAGCTTTCCTTTCTTGTATAGTTCCTCTGTGTAATCTTGCCACCTCTTCTTAATCTCATCAGCCTCTGTTACGTCCCTGCCATTTTGGTCCTTTATCATGCCCATCTTTGCATGAAACGTTCCCTTCATATCTCCAATTTTCTTGAAGAGACCTCGGTCCTCCCTATTGTTTTCCTCTATTTCTTTGCACGGTTCAGTTAAGAAGCTATTCTTATCTCTTCTAACTATTCTCTGGAATTCTGCATTCAATTGGGCGTATCTTTCTCTTTCTCCCTTGCCTTTCGCTGCCCTTCTTTCCTCAGCTATTTGTAAAGCTTCCTCAGACGGCCATTTCGCTTTCTTGCATTTCTTTTTCTTTGGGATGGCTTTAGTTGCTACCTCTTGTACAATGTTGCGAACCTCCGTCCATAGTTCTGCAGGCACTCTGTCTATCAGATCTAATTCCTTAAATCCATTTGTCACCTCTACTGTATATTCATCAGGGATATGATTTAGGTCATACCTGAGTGGCCTAGTGCTTTTCCCTACTTTCTTCAATTTAAGTCTAAATTTTGCAACCAGAAGCTCATGATCTGAGCCACAGTCAGCTCCTGGTCTAGTTTTTACTTACTGTATAGAGCTTCTCCATCTTTGGCTGCAGAGCACATAGTCAATCTGATTTCTGAGTTGACCGTCTGGTGATGTCCATGTGTAGAGTCGTCTCTTGGGTTGTTGGAAAAGAGTGTTTGCTATGACCATCGTATTCTCTTGACAAAATTCTACCAGCCTGTGCCATGCTTCATTTTGTACTCCAAGGCCAAACTTGCCTGTTATTCCAGTTATCTTTTGGCTTCCTACTTTAGCGTTCCAATCCCCCATGATGATAAGGACATCATTTTTTGGTGTTAATTCTAGAAGGTGTTGTAGGCCTTCATAGAACGGGTCAACTTCAACCTCTTCAGCACCAGTGGTTGGGGCATAGACTTGGACTATTGTGATGTTGAATGGCTTTCCTTGAATTCAAACTGAGAGCATTCTGTCATTTTGGAGGTTGTATCCCAGTACTGCTTTTCCTACTCTTTTATTGACTGTGAAGGCTGCTCCATTTCTTCTGAGGGATTCTTGCCCACAGTAGTATACCTGATGGTCATCCGAATTAAATTCACCCATTCCTGTCCATTTTAGTTCACTGATTCCTAAGATGTCGATGCTCAGTCTTGTCATCTCCTGTTTGACCACATCCAGCTTGCCTTGATTCATGGATCTTACATTCCAGATTCCTATGGAGTATAGATCTTTGCAGCATCGGACTCTCCTTTCACCACCAGATACATCTGCAACTGAATGTCCTTTCGGCTTTGACCCAGTCACTTCATTCTTTCTGGCGCTACTAGTACTAGCCCTCCACTCTTCCCCAGTAGCATATTGGACACCTTCCGACCTGAGGGGCTCATCTTCCAGCATCATATCTTTTTGCCTTTTGGTGTACTGTCCATGGGGTTTTCATGGCAAAGATACTGGAGTGGGTTGCCATTTCCTTCTCCAGTGGATCACGTTTTGTCAGAGCTCTCTGCTATGACCTGTCTGTCTTGGGTGGCCCTGCACGGCATAGCTCATAGCTTCATTGAGCTATGCAAGCCCCTTCGCCATGACAAGGCAGTGATCCATGAAGGAGTGCATATTAATACCTATTTCTAAATATATTTCATCACATTTCCTTAACTTAAGCATATCTAATATATGTCAATACTTTTTTGAGCTAAGAGTTTTGTTAGAACATTCAGAAAGGGCAAAACCTAATTGATAACCACATACTGATCCACACATTAGCTGAGGAGATAAGCAGTGGCTCATTTCATACCTGAATTCACAAAGACTAAATTCTTCAAGCATCTCTATTCATAAATGTGGTTTTAAAGACCACCTGTGAAAAGCCCCACTGAGTGTGTGTGAGCCACTGTGATGAAACATTTATTCATACTGAGTTTTATTTGATCATGCATTTGCTACTTTGGCTTTGATTCTGACTGCAGCACTGCTGTAGCAAGAATGATAAAGGAAATAGCATTGCACGAGGGCAGTGCATGGACAGCAAAGTTGATGGAAACAATGAGAAAAAAATGTTGTAACCTCTTCGGGATTTCAAAATCCTCTTGCTTTAAAACAAGCAGAAAAATATGTGCTGATAAGGAAAATTGGATATGGTATGCATATTCAATTCCATTAATTGGACTACAAAGTAGAATTCAAACAAAAGGCATTGTTGAGGTTTAGCACTAGCAATTGTAATTCTTTGAATGATTGCCTGAAGTACCATTACAGTTCAGCAGTGAATTATTAGTACATTAAGCCAGCGCTTTACATATGTCAGAAGTGGAATTAATTAATGAGTAATACTGACTCCTCAAACCTAGTAGCAAACCTTTTTTACACTTCTGAGGCCCCAGCAGATGATTTAGTAGTGGGCAAATGGAGTAAACACAGCTACAAATTACCCCTTAATCCCAGAACTTTTAGATGACGGTCTTAAAAGTGTGGCAGATGGTGCACAGGCACTCCTGGAACACTGTACACACAGTGCTAGTATACATTGTCCTCAGGACAACGCATCTGGGCTTTCCTAGCACCATCTCTGCTGGCAGCAAATAACTTGTCAACAAAACCCTGTTTCTGCTCAAGGGCTCTTCTTCACTGATCAGTCAGTATGTAACTGTGCAACTCAGAGAACATCCTCCTATTGATTGCTATGGGAAGTAGGAAGGGGAAAGATAGAGGAGATGAAACAGGAATGCTACTATATAGTCTCTTTCCAACACTTTGACTGCCAGCTTCCACAATGCAAAGTGCTGTTCTAACAAACATGGAGACAAAAGGCCTCTCTGGTCCAGCATCCTGCTCCCACAGTGGCCAACCAGATGTCATGGGATGCTCACAATTAGGACACGAGTGCCATAGCAGCGGTCTACTCACATTCCCCAGCAACTGATATACAGAGGCACACTGCCTCTGATACTGAAGGTAGTATTTGTTGATTACATTTCTATACCACCCAATAGCTGAAGCTCTCTGGACAGTTCACTAAAACTATATATTGCCATCATGACTGGTAACCATGATGGGTTGATGCCCTCATCCTCCATAAATTTGTCTGATCCCATTTTAAAGCCATCCAACTTGTATAATCACTACATCTTGCAAAAGTGAATTCCATAGTATAATGCTCTATACTATGTGGAAAAAGTACTTTCTTTTCTCTTTTCTGAGGCTTTCACTAATCACCTTCATGGGTTCCTGTATTATGAGAGAGGAAGAAAAAAATGTCTTCCAATTTGTACACCTCACTTGTCTTTATAATATTAATAATTTTAATATATTATAATATATAATAATGTTCTATCCAGATATTATTAACTCCCCTCATGATGGAGTTGCTCCAACCTCTTGATAATTTTGGTTGCTGTTTTCAGCATGAACCACATTTTGAAATTACCTTTGATTTTATGAAATGGTAATTTAGCCAAGAATAATGTCAGATTTTTAATTCATATGTATTGTTGCTTTGTAAGAAATTACAGGAACCATGATGATCTCCAGTTAAATTAAAAATATGCAGCTCATAGATTACCGCACCATGTGTTTGAATGTGAAAGCACCTGACCTTACAGTGACAAACTCCTGTCTGAGGATTGCAAACACTGGGTTCAGTTCCGCCTCTTTTACATTTGCAGGGTTTGCAGTTTGGAAAACCATAAGAGTCCGGAGCACACTGATCACATCGTTGGCCTATTATTCCTGGGCGGCACCTTCAACAACAATAAAAAGACCAAAGATCATTTCTGAAAAAGGTTTGTTTTCAGGAGATCAAGTTAGGGAATGGTAATTTTGTGATATTATGAAAAGTCTAACAAATGGTGCAGTGCTAATTAAGGCTGGAAAAGAAAGTTAACAGCATTGTAATATGGTATTTTATTTTTACAAGGTCATGGAATAAAATATGGTTGAGATTAAGGATATCAGTGCCAAACTCAGAGAAGA